CTTCTCCCTTCTTCATTTATCTGCACAGCACGTTCACATTCTAATACACTATATAGTCTATGTAGTTATGGCATTGATCATTTATTGGCTGCTTTCCCCTACCAGAAGATAAGTTTCATGAGAGTTCGTTCTAACAATTGATGTATCTCTGGTGCCTGGCTCATAGGGACAAATCTCTGCCCCCATGGAGCTTAGTATTCTAGTGAGAAGTAAGCCATGAAGACAGGTAAGGAAAATATATTCCAGGTACTCAAAGGATATTTGATGAATAAATGAAGGTACTGAAAAGCTTGTCAAATTCGAATTTCAGAAAGATCACTACAGGATTACAAAGAATAGATTTCAAAATAAAGTATGCATGGAAAGGAGGGGGTGAGTTCAGAGATGTGACGAAGGAAATAATGATAACAGTAAAAAGAGCCTAGAGCTTCATCCCCCGCCATGTAACCATAGGCTAGTGCTTTATTTACATCTCCTCAAATACAGCTTCACAACAATCAGTAGAAGATGAAGAGGCTTAAAAAATGAAAAAGGGCTAAGAACCCCAACAAACAGCAACGTTTAAGAGTTAAGTGAAAGAAACAGTCCACTACAGGTAAAAGAAGAGTGATCAGAGGATGCCAGGTGGAAGGAAATTCAGGCACAGTGTATGGCAACCAAGGAAAGACAAAGTTTCAAGAAGAAAGTTGTGTCAAAAGCTATAGCAATTTGGTTACATAAGGACTGAAAAGTAGCCTTAGATTTAGCAAAAGGGAGCTACTGGCCACTTTGGCAAAGGCAATTTCAGATGCCAGACTGCACTACGTTTTGGAGTAAAATGCAAGGGAAATGATTAGAAAATCAAGTGTAGACTATTCTTTTCAAGAGCTTTAGCTATTAAAAGAGGAAGAGAGAAACTGGGATATAGAGTGGCACAGAGCTGAAGGAGAGACTTAAGGATAGCTATGAGCTAAAAGAGAGATCTACCAGAAAGGACAGAATGGAGACAGAAGTGGGAGCTAGAGTACAGGTCTCGGGAAATAAAGGAAGCAAGTGGATAGTGCCTGGTGTAATGGTGGAAGAGAAGTCTGAAGAATACATGGTTCCCTTTCCATATATTCACTTAGTGTCTGGTGCTACTAATCAAGACAAGCATCTGATTCAGACCTGTACATAGTACACATATGCATATATGGTATCTATAACTATATATACACACATACATAATAAACAAAATCAGTGCTACAAGGTAGCACATACTGTAAAGTGAATAATATAGGCAAAAGAGCTGGTTTCCTCTTTTGGGGGAGCAGTCCTGGGGATTGAACACAGGGTACTCCAGGGTACTTGCTAAGCAAGCACTCAACCACTGAGTTACCCCACAAAAGAAGGTAGTGTGAGGCAGGCCTGACATAGTGTAGGTTTAAGCAATGAAGGTAGGAGAGATCAGGGGCTCAAGTGGTTAGAGCACCTGCCTCACAGGTTTGAGGACCTGAGTTCTAACTAAAGAACCATTAAAAACAACAAAACAACCAATGGAGAATGTTGGAGACAATTGGCAAAGACCAAGAAATGTGCTTAGCAAAATTTAGGGACACCTAAAAGACAAGTGTTTTGAATCTATAAAGGAATTCAGATACTATTCTATGGATATGAGGAGCTAATGAAGATTTTAGAATGAAGACTGACTTGTACCATGTTTTAACAATTAATTTGGGATGTCAATTGGAGCAATTAAAAACTGGAGTCAAGGATAATTCAAGGATAACTGAGATACTTGAGGTGTAGGTGATAAAAATCCTGTATATACCATCTTAAAAATTCTAATTCAGTAAGGTGTTGGCAATGAGAATGGAAAGAAACTGGTGCCTGCCTAGATATGGAAAACGAGAAAAGAGGCCAAGAGTGCTATAAGGTTTTGAGCTGAAGGGAAGATAGAATGATGATACTCTGGAGAAAAGAAATTCAATGAAGTTTAAGATATGTGGGGGTTAAGGTGATGGGAACATATTTGGGAACAGAGTTAGAAAAGTGTGGAGGAGAGGTCAGTACTAAGTGGGGATCTGGGAATCCACTGTATAAGAAGAAATATAGATGGAAAAAGTAGAGGATCAAATGGAGGAAGGAAAACGAAAGAGGAAAGAGAGTGTAAGAGCAGCCCAAGAGATTAGGCCAGGAAAGCAAAGTATTGCAGAAGTCAAGGAGGAAGCAAGTTTCAAGGATGAGAAAGTACCTAACAATGCTGAAGAGATTTTGAATTGAGCAAAACCTAGCAATATGATCGTTCATGATCTACAAGAGAAAAGTTTCAATAAGAAAGGAGGAAAAAACTGGTGCTGATAATAATGAGAAGACAGACAGCGATGCAAGCAGAGAGAGGCTAATCTTGAGAAATGTAGTGGAGAGTCACTGAAGTTAATTGAGTGGAAGGAGAGCTGACTCAAAGAAGGACTTGCTTGTCCCTTCAGGACTTGATATAGTTCTTGGCAGAAAGAAAATGTCAGTAAAGGACTGACGGGAAACACAGTAATACACTAATAGAAAAGAAAAGAAAGAAAGAAACAAAAAACAAAGAAAGAAACAAAGGATGAGACAAAGAAAGAAACATAGGAGAAGCAAGGTTTGGGGGAGGGAGAAGAGGTGGGGGATAAAGAAAAAGTCTTGAGGGGCTAATCTTGGAACAGAAGAAAGGCAATCTGAATAGGTATAAGATGTGAAGAATCATAGATTTTTAAGTAGAATGGTGAAAAGAGTTCTCTAAATAGCGCCACTTTCTCACTCAATTGAAGGTGGTTGATGATTCAGTGTATTTGAGGATTTAATGCTTAAGAAGGCGACAAAAAAAGAGTAGAGGTGGTGGGGGTAGACTCTTAGACATGACATCATAAGATGTGTTTAAGTCCCAGATATGTTACCTTGGACTGGCCACCAGATCCTTTTGAGGCTGTTTCCTCACAATGTTGTTTGGAAGATTGAGATAATGTACACGTAAATTATAAAGCACTTAAACAAGAGAAGTTGGAATACCTGTCATAGGAGGCATGATGCAGCGTGAGTAAGAAATGAAGCTGAGCATCAAGGAGGGGAGAGGTGACGTTCACATCAAGAATATATAGTAAGCCAAGTCTACGCAATTTTTGTGGCTTCCTCCAACATACTGGAGTGGAGAAGGCAGGGCAGGTGTGGAGGAGGAGAGGCTGAAGAAATCTAGCAAGGACATTTTGAGACCTTTTCTGCATATTTACATTTGGAAATTACATGCAATTTTTATATAAAAGTGACTTGTTAACAAATGCACTTATGCCACAGGTTTCAGGATTCTCACAATAAAGGCCAAACCAGACCACACCAGATCTTGCTCTATTTTTTTTTTTTTTTTCCTGGCAAGGCGGGGGAGGAATCCAACCCAGGGCTTCACACATGCTAGGTACATCCCTAGCCCCACGCTTTATGTTTTAGAAACAGACATTTTTAAAATTATAAAATAAAAGCTATAAATCTTTCTTTTCATATTTTGGAGCCTTTCCACTCCGAGTCCATATTTTTAAAAGCTTAGCTCCAGGTACAATGCCTATAGCGTGAAATGAATAGTAAGACATCAATGAAACAGCTGTCTATGGGTCCAAACCAGGTAAGAAAGAGCAAGAACAAAGAAAGTAGAGCGACTTCTTGAAACACTAGACAGTCTTAAGCAACTGGAGACAGAAGGTGAGGCGCCATCGTGTTACCGCTTTTGGAATTTGGGAGATCAGGCATTGCAAAGCGGTCATATGATGGAATTTTCTTCCCCATAGGCGACAAGGCAATCATAACGCTAAGGGTGCCAGGTGTGCCCATCTTCCTAATTAGCTGGTGAGCCCACAAAGGGCTGGTCCCTCATTGACATTCACTACTGTCCCATTGTGACCAGTCAGGAGCCCCGGTTGATTGACTTGTTTGGTTTCTGTTATATTTAACTGCAGAATTCCAGCGACAAATATTCAAGACTTAAGTCACACACACCCACTCTTCCCCGAACGAGTGGAACAAAGGCTTCTCACGCCCCAGGAACTCAGAGGGGCCCAGTTCTAGACCGCGGTTCACTGGTCTCCCTAACTGGTCCCCGAACCCAAGCCCGAGGCGCCCTTACCCCGGAATGTGCCAGAAACTAGCGAGCCTCGGGAATTCTTGCAACCTGCACGCTAAGTTTGAGGGATTCCGGGGCTGAGATAAGCTCCGGAGGCCAAGACCCATCCCATCCCCACCCCCCACCTCCCGCCGCAGGTTCACACCTGCCCCGGAGTAGTGGACAAAGTAGAGGACAGAGGCCTCTGGAGCTGAAAAACGCACTGCCTACAACTCCCAGCAAGCTCTGGGCTGCTCCTCCGGGGGCCAACTGACAGCGCCACCCACCAATGGGAGAGCCCGGCCTGAGTTCGTGGGACCAATCCGAAGGTGGAAAAGAGGCCGCTCCTGCGGGACATCAGTATCGGTTTTTCCAGTGGTCCTGAGGTCTCTCCGGTCACCGGAGATAAAGAGTTAGTCCTCATAAAATGGTGACGCTATCAATACTATGCCTCTCACTCCCAGCCTTATTCTTTTCCCGGTCCCGCCTCCGGACCTCAGTTTGGTCCCTCGCTCTCCTCGGCACCCCTCCCCACCGCTTGAGTGGGACTGGCGAGGATGGGGAACTTCCACCAAAGCTTATTGGATGCAGTTGGTGTCACTCTGAAGGGCGGTGAGGCCTGGAACAGCGAGGACCGCCCCCCCTGGACGGTGATTGGACTCCCCGGAACCAACCTGGGATGGGATTGGTGCGAGGAAGGGCGGAGAGTTTTCGCTCATCCGGCCGCCTTGCCAGGGGGCGGTGGCCACGGAGGAGCCGGCTGGGGCTCGCAGCACCCTGGCCGGCCGCAACACCCTCCGCAGATAGGAGCAGGAGGATCCCGTACCTCATCGCGCCAGGGTGACGGGGACGCTTGTCGCGTGTCGGGGGCGGGACCAGTGGGGCGGGAGGGGGTTGGCCGGGGAGGTCATGAAATGCGGGGATCAAGAATTTAGAACTTGCTGAAGACCTAGATTTGAAGCATAAGGGAAGGAGGACTTGGGGAACTGAGAGGGGCGTGAGCGTGTCTGGTATGGGATGCCATGGAAAGCAGGGGGCCCTGCTACTGCTCAGGATCTGTGGATGGTTGTGAGGCACCCTCTTCCCGTTTGCCCTTTTATTTATCAAGAGAGTCCTCATGGTTCAAGTTCTGGAGTCTTTGTCTTTGGGTGGGTTTAACCAGCTTCTACAGTATAGAACTGTCCAGGTCCTTTTCTGATACTGACCATAGACATAGGAAATATGTCAGAAAGCAGGAAGCCGCTTCTGGGCTTTGTGCACAAACTCCCCAGTGGGACTGCATTTGGGAACTCAGGCAAGACCCACTGCCCTTTGTGCATGGGGCTTTTCAGAGCCCCCAGGCTCTTGCCTTGTTTGCACACGGTGTGCACCACGTGTCTGGAGAAGCTGGAGCCCTTCTCTGTAGTGGACATACGAGGGGGAGACTCTGACACAAGCTCTGAGGGGTCAATATTCCAGGAACTCAAGCCTCACAGTCTGCAGCCACAGATCGGCATCCTGTGTCCAGTATGTGATGCTCAGGTGGACCTGCCCATGGGTGGAGTGAAGGCTTTAACCATGGACCACCTGGCCATGAATGATGTGATGCTGGAAAGTCTGCGTGGGGAAGGCCAGGGCCTGGTGTGTGACCTGTGCAGCGACAGGGAAGTGGAGAAGAGGTGTCAGACCTGCAAAGCCAATCTCTGCCACTTCTGCTGCCAGGCTCATAGGTAAAAATGGGATACCCCAACCTGTTGTGGCTTAAGAGTATAGTTCAAAGAGGTGGGCAGACCAAAAGGAAGCCATTCTTAAATACCATCAAAAGCCAAAGAATAAAGGACAGTACAATAAAAAACACTGTAGACTGGTAGCTAATCTCCTCAGCCCAATATAATTCCTGTAGTAATTATAGCAATAAAGGTTTGCCTAGTCTTTTTTTCAATTTACTAATCTGTCACAGCTTTCTTCCATCCTCTGTCGTTTGTGTAGTAAATAATAGTACTGGGTGCTGGGGAGACAGGTGAGTGAATATAGTAGCATAGATCTTGCCTTGATCTTATTTGATCATTACAACTCTTATAGACAGGCAGGCACTATTTTCATCCCCATTTATTAATTGAGGAAACTGAAGCTCAGCAATGTTATGTGATTTGTCAAGGAATCACAGCTGGTAAAAACAGAGTCTTAAATCTAGGTATTCTTACTGTATTCTATTCTGTGTTTTTCATGCTAATGGCATGCCACTTTCTCAGTATAGGTACTGATTTGATTGGCTGGGGCTCACCTCAGCCTTTGCCTTATTCCTCTGTTATTGATGATATTCATTGGGGTGTCAGTTATGTCTTTTATCATGCCTGGTGAATAATTTGTCAGATGGATTGTTCTTTGTTCCTTCTTGCTCTTCGTTTATCCCAAACTGGGACATCAGAATATAAAATGACCAAGGTTTTAGGATTAACCTAAAATAGTTTCTAAGTTCTGACTTCCATTTGTCTTCTGTCCTTACCAACAGAACAGGTTAGTAGTCTTCACTCTATTTTTAACTCATGTGATAGTCCCTTTGCTTGTCTTACTGCCTGCTAAACAGCTGACCCTATTTTCTCTGCAGCTACTCTTCTGTTGCCAGAACAGGCATCTGAGCTTCAAGATGATGGAATGTTAATGGGGAACTCTGAGAAGTCATCCTAGGAATGTCCCTGAGTCTCTAGAGGCTGTAGAAAAGAGGAATTAAAAGAGAGCTTTGACTCTATTGACCATTGATTTCACTTTCTAATGTTGATAACTCTTGGAAATTCTAGCCTGTTGATACAAGTGATGTAGATACTGGTCAAAGGAAATGCTTTATTAAAATCTTAGATAAAAACCAGATGATACTCTGCCAGGGCCAGCCTGCTGCTTTAATTTGTATGCTATCTGGCAAAGTTTGTATCTCTTGGTGCTGGTTTTTCACCATGATCTCTCTGGTTGGCCTCAGGAAGCAGGCTGTTTAAGATTGCCAAATTAACTCTGGGGGAATGTTTCAGGACATAGTCTCTTTTAGCATTACAGCTTTTTGCAATGACATATCCCAAGTCAAAGCCCAAGTGTACTCCCATTTTGTTCTGAACAACAGCTTCACTGTGTAGACAAACAACTAGAATCAGAGAGAGCCATGTAATTATCTCAAATTTGTTTAACTTCAGAGCCTGTGTTCCTAAAAACCTCTCCACCAAAGTGTCTCCCACCTGGACTTACTCCCTAACTTCTTGTTCCTGTTTGTTGCTAGGCGGCAGAAGAAAACAACTTACCACGTTATGGTGGACCTAAAAGACCTGAAAGGCTACAGCAGGGTTGGAAAGCCCATCCTATGTCCTGCTCACCCTGCAGAAGAGCTGCGATTGTTCTGTGAGCTCTGTGACCGCCCTGTGTGCCGGGATTGTGTGGTGGGCGAGCATCGGGAGCACCCCTACGACTTCACCAGCAATGTCATCCACAAGCATGGAGACTCTGTGCGGGAGCTCCTCAAAGGCACCCAGCCCCATGTGGAGGCCCTGGAGGAAGCCCTGGCTCAGATCAAAAGCATGAACAGTGCCCTCCAGGAGCGAGTGGAGACTGTAGCAGCCGATGTCCGAGCATTCTCTGAGGGCTACATCAAAGCCATCGAGGAGCACCGGGACAAGCTGCTGCAGCAGCTGAAAGACATCCGGGTCCAGAAGGAAAACTCCCTGCAGCTGCAGAAAGCACAGCTGGAACAGCTGCTGGCAGATATGCGGACTGGAGTGGAGTTCACTGAACACTTGTTGACCAGTGGCTCAGACTTGGAGATCCTTATCACCAAGGGGGTGGTAGTAGAACGGCTCAGGAAGCTGAACAAAGTTGAATATAGTGCCCGCCCAGGAGTAAATGATAAGATATGCTTCTCTCCTCAAGAGAAAGCAGGCCAGTGTCATGGCTATGAAGTCTATGGAGCCATTAATACCAAAGAGGTCGATCCAGCCAAATGTGTGCTTCAAGGAGAAGGTAGGAAGGCATTTCTTGTTGGCATTGAGAGGGCAGTGGAAAGGCAGATGGTCCTTAAAGAGTGGCTTGTTTAGTGAGGAAGTGCTCCCCTACTGACCAGTTTACCAAGGGAGAAAGCCATCCAAATGTAAAAGGCAGTGACCCCCTGTGTTCCCCTTGTCTCTGATTTGTCCTGGCCAGAGTGCAGTTAATATTCAATACAGGGATGAGGCTTGGCCCCCTTTTCCACTTCAGAAGAGTAGAAACTACCATGGAACTCAAGAATTGTGCTGCTTCTCTAGGTGACAACCAGGGCAGTGCCCACGGGGATAACAACATTGACTAAGGAAGGGCAAAATCTGCCTGGCCACAGAGGAGCATGGCAGGTCCTGGTTGCTTGGATCAGGTTCTGAAGGTGGCTATAGAGGAATGAAGTGGACAAGGCTATGGTTTCCTCCGTTCCATGCCCTTTTTGGTTCACATTTTGGTATTTAAAAGGCTATAGTAGGTGTTTCATTCAGTAGGGGAAGAAATGGTTTCTACTGATCAGTGTTCTTTTCCTGAAGGAAGTGTGTTATTCAAACACATTTCACAGATATCCCTGAATGGGAAGATTGCATTCAAGAGTCATCCTCACTCTGGCAGGGAACTCTTAACTCTTCAAAAGTCACAGATCCTTTTGAGAATGACCTCTTCCCCAGAAACATCCAGAACTAGGGCATGCAATTTCAGGAGTTTTTTAGACCCTTCATAAGCCTCTCTCCCCAGACCTAGTAGTTCATCAACCCTGGGGTAAGAATCCTGGTTTCATCTAGATGCTGTAACTATTAGATATTCCCCCAGTGTCTTGGCAAAAGCTTCTGCATCACAGAGGCTGTCACAACCCATAGGATCCAAGCTGATTAGCTATACCCCTGCCTATGCTCACAGTTTGAGAGGGTAGTTTTGGGTTACTAGCCTCTCACAAGTCCAGAGGTTTTCTTCTCTGAATACCTAAGTCAATCCTGAATATTTTCAAAGCTTCCTTAGGGCTAAAGTTAAAAATCCAGAATCTGTGTGATCCAGAAGCAGCTGCTGGCTGAATCCTAGCCAGGACACCCAAGTGATAGACCCAGGGAGTCAAGAGAAGAAAAAAGGAAGGGAGCTGGATAATTACAGTAAGCAGAAGGCACAACCCTTGTTCTGAAGAGAAAAGGCAAGACGGTGTCTAATTGGGATACGGTCATTGCAGTTTGCCTTCGGGGTGAGCACTGAGTGTTTGTCTTTTGCAGATCTCCACAGAGCTCGGGAGAAACAGACAAGCTCTTTCACCCTGCTTTGTAAGGATGCTGCAGGAGAGAGCATGGGCAAGGGTGGAGACAACATCCACGTCGCAGTTGTCCCTAAAGACAAGAAAGACAGGTTTGTGTAACACAGTTAGGTGTCATGGGAATAAGTAATGAGGAAACTGGAAACATGAGGGCCTTTGGGTTACTGGTGATGTAATTTGCCTCTCCTTGAAACTATGAAAAAATGTGATTTCGCACAATTGGACCAAATGTGTTTTTGTGTGTAGGTTTTATTCCTATATTCAATTCTCTATAACATCCAGCCCCTCAGTTTGTCTTCATTCCAAGTTTTGGAATGGACTGAAAAAAACCGTTGTTATACTAAATGGTGCCTTTCCTAAACTTTAGCCCACTTTTGCTACTAAGTTGTACCAGGAGCAGATTTGTAAGCCTGTTTCTCTGGAATGGAGTTCAGTCCAGTTGGAACATTGGATTGAAATAGAATTTATGCTGCTTACCTTCTGTTGTAAAATTAACTTCTGAGGCAATTGGAAGAAGCATCCGGTTTGGGGAGATGTTTAAAATTAATATTGAATGGAGTGGTGGAGTGCTTACAACCTAAAATGGTAGGTGGCTGAAGCAGGCTTGCAAGACTAAGTGGTTTTTTGACTCTTGTCTCCCTTCAGTCCAGTCAGAACAGTGGTCCAGGATAACAAGGATGGGACATACTATGTGTCCTATACTCCCAAGGAACCCGGGGTCTACACTGTGTGGGTCTGCGTCAAAGAACAGCACGTGCAGGTGAGTAAGGCCCTTGCACATGCTGCCTGGAGCTCCTTTCATCCTGGACTCCTGGTTCTATCATTGTAGGATCTGGAGACATTTCTCATAGGGTCAGCTGCATGGAGATTGAACAGGGTTCTCTTCTTTCTCGTCTTCATTGTAGAAACAGCCCAGGTTTCTTACTAGAGGGTGCTAGTGACCATATTAACTTTGTGCCTATTTTACCTTCTGGCAGTCATGCTTATATCTTACCATTTTCCAGTAGGGTTGTTGGAATTCTTTATTTGGGGAAGATGCCTGGGTCACAGGGGGCAGTCTGCCAGTAGGCAAGCACACATCCAAGAAATACAGTGTCGCTCAGGATTTCTCAGCTTTGTTCCTATGTCCTGTGATTGGGACATAATTGGTAGGATTATGCCCCTCCTCTCAACTGACCAGTCCTCTGTCTGCCCAACCATTTGCCCATATAATTCTCTCTTTTACATACATGCTTATTGGTTACCGTGGCTACTACCCCACCTCCAGAGGTAAGTATAAGACACTCTGGTTTATGAAGTGTTAAAAATTGGGTAATACTTGTCAAGAATAGCCTCTCTGATGACACTGCAGTAGTCAGAGCTTTCCATCAACCAGAAGTCAACACTGACAAGACTGATAAAATACCGTGCAGCTTATGACGCCAGGCTGTGGCCTGTACACTAGGAAGACTCAACTCATTCAGCAGCCACTTGCTGCTTACTTAATCACGGGATGTAAGGAACAGGTTAGGTATTTTTGCATATACTAGTTCACTTTTCTTCAAAGCCCATTCAAGTACTGGTATCACTATTCAATTAGATTGGGACCAAACTTGCCACAATACACAGTAGCTCTGTAGCAAAATCAGAATTTGAATCTATTTCTTTGAATCTCAGGTTGGCTTTTAAATGAATTACAATGTTAGATTTCCATTGTTATGACAAAATACCTGAGGTAATCAACTTAAAAGGAGGAAAGGTTTGTTTTGGTGCATGATTTCAGAGATTTCAGTCTAGGATCCTCCTTTAAAAGAAAGGAGAATTTAACATCAGAAACACTTCTAAGATACCAGGCTCTGTACTCTGTGCTTTCTCAAGCTATTGATCCTTACAAGGAGATAGGCAAATTGTAACACTTACAAGATGTTTTTAACATAGGATAGAAATTAGAAACTGAAATTTATCCTTGAAGAAAATGGAACAGTAGGGAGAGTTATTGAGTTGACAATTATTAGCCACAGACACTTTCTCCCTTCTCAGGATAAAGGGTGGGGAAACAGATATGTGGTATCCAGGGTGGAGGACCAGGGAGGAAAGAAACTTGCTTCATATGTAGGGAAGGAGGCACATGGCTGAGAAATTGGAGAAAGACCACAGGATATTCCTGCTTTGTGGTTGTGACATTCTACCAATTACCTCTGAGCTTCCTCAAGAGTTGATACTGAGAAATCTGTAGACAAGTCAATCACATGAAAGCACAAATTGAGATGACTAATGTATCAAATTGCCTACACTCCTGCACTTCACACAAGGCTACAGAATCCATTAAGAAAGAGCTTGAGCTGATTGTGGTTTGGCCTTCTGCTGTTTCTGCCATCGTGCCAGAACAAGGACCAGCTACACAGATGCCACACATGAAAATGTAGCTGACTCTATGGGACCCACTGTTCAGTAGCTGTGTTGAACATTCAACACTGTGATGACCTAGCTTGGCAGAAGACTTCAGACTCTCTTGCTTCTAATTTCTCTCCACGTGTACCTGCCCCCAGCTAGCTAAGCAGAGTTCATGAAAGCACAAATTGAGATGACTAATGTATCAAATTGCCTACACTCCTGCACTTCACACAAGGCTACAGAATCCATTAAGAAAGAGCTTGAGCTGATTGTGGTTTGGCCTTCTGCTGTTTCTGCCATCGTGCCAGAACAAGGACCAGCTAATTCAGATGCCACTGAAAATGTAGCTGACTCTATGGGACCCCACTGTTCAGTAGCTGTGTTGAACATTCAACACCTGTGATGACCAGCTTGGCAGAAGGACTTCAGACTCCTTGACTCTAATTTCTCTCCACGTGTACCTGCCCCCAGCTAGCTAAGCAGAGTTCTTGTTCTCTATCTGTTTTTCTCCCGCATCCTTGTCCCTCCAAGGGCAGCCCTGTGACTTAGAATGCTTAGCATGTAGCTGTTGACTCATAAGGTGCCCCCGTGCTTTGCTCTTGGCCTGAACACTGCAGGGCTCACCATTCAACGTGACTGTGAGGAAAAAACACCGTCCACACCAAGGCGTGTTTCACTGCTGCACCTTCTGCTCCAGCGGAGGCCAGAAAACTGCGCGCTGTGCCTGTGGAGGCACCATGCCAGGTAAGGAGGACTTCATTACCCTCAGGCCTGTCTGCCAGCAGCAGCCATAAAATGACAGCCCTTGCACTTCCGCATGACCACTAGGTTAGGATGCTTGGATTGAGGCTGTGTTCCTAGGAAGTACAGTCTGTGTGGAAAGACTGGGCAAAACTTCTGCTGAAACAAGCTTTTTAATTCTGACTTGAAATAACAGGATTAAAAATTCTTAGTTCTTTAAGCTCACAGCTCACCAATCTGTGAGCCTGTGCTTCTCTGTGGGATTCTGTTTCAGCCCATGCAGTATGAAAATGCAGACTCACCTTATCCTTTCTAAGATGAGAAGGGCTGGCAGAGTGGCTAAAGCAGTAAGAGTGCCTGCCTTGCAAGCATGAGGCCCTGAGTTCAAACCCCAGTTCCGCCAAAAACAAAACAAAAATGAGGAAGGGATTGGCAAGTAGAGATTAAACTGATTAATCTCTTTGGAGAGGCAGGTGTGTGTGTGTGTGTGTGTGTGTGTGTGTATGCATAAATATATATTCAGTACTGGGATTTAAATTCAGGGCCTTGCATTTTCAGGCAGGTGCTCTACCACTTGAGCCATGCCCCAGGTCCTTTCTGCTTTCATTATTTTTCAAATAGGGTCTCACTTTTATGCCTGGGCTGGCCTGGACCTTGATCCTCCTATTCACACTTCTTGTGTAGCTGGGGTGACAAGTATGCGTTACCTCACCTAGCTTTTTATTGGTTGGAATGGGGTCTCACAGATGGTTTGCCAGGTTTGGCCTTAAACTGTGATCCTGATCTCTGCCTCCTGAGTGGCTAGGATAAGGCGTAAGGCACCACACCTGGCGAGATCTAGTTATTTTTTTTAAAAAAATTATTCCATTATGTCCTTATTTTAATGATAGGGCATGAAAGAGGTATTTGCACCCTTCTGTGTAACCACTTTAGGATCTACCCTTCTTTTTTATCTCACTAATTTTACAGTTAAAGTCCAAAGCAGTTTGTCTCCTTCAGATAGCACATTTAACACTGTCTGGAGGGCTTGGGCTAGCCTTAGTTGGTTCGCTGTTTTAGTCTCGAGGGTCCTGACTGCGGAGAGACAGACAGCTTACTCCTCTTGCCAGGTTTTTCTTAGGATTTTCACTCACATGAGTCCAAATGTTCCCAAGAGATTTAACTTCCACATCCTTCCTCCCTCTCTTCTTTGTACTGCAGGTGGGTACTTAGGCTGTGGCCATGGACACAAAGGCCACCCAGGTCGTCCCCACTGGTCCTGCTGTGGGAAGTTTGCTGAGAAGTCTGAATGCACATACTCAAGTGGGCCAAGTGCAGGGAGGAGTCTGCTGAGGACCGTGGCACTCTGATGTCTTCCTGGGTATGAGCTTGGCCCAGTACAACTTCAGATTTCCCAAGGACTCCCAGAGCTTGAGCAATCCCAAAGAGACTGAGAGAATTAAAAACAAAGTGCCTTATCTTACATTAGCCTTCAAGTACTTCTTTGTGTCACTCACTGGTGTATTTATGAATGGTTGTACTTACGTGCTTAAGCACATAAGACCTCTACTACATTTTTCTTAAGGGTAGCTTGGCAGTGTTCTTTCTGTACCATTGGGGCTTCCTTCCTATTTTGTACTGGTATGGAACTATCTATGTACTGGTATGTACTATCATGATCCATTGGATCATGGATGTAATTTAACTCCTTCCTTTCTAATGCATTACAACCTTTTTAATTTATCGCTGAGCTGCATATTATTTGAATATTTCTCTGAGAATAAAAGTTTCCCTTCTTCCTACCCACTTTTTGTTCACACACTTTTGGGTGGATTTACCAGTGTATATTTTGTGACCATTATACCATTATACATATATGTGTGTGGGTGCGGGTGTGTCCCCTTCCCTCTGGAAGCCTGGAAGGTTACTATTTGGTGTAGTGATTATAAGTAGAATGTTGATAAAGACTTCTGTTGAAAGATCTCACACATCTGATGCAGTTCTACACAAGCCTGATGGTCTAGACACTTTCTTCCTCTTCAGTCTTTGGTTTTTAGCAAGTAACTTTTGCTTGTGTCTGTATACATAGAAACTGAGCTGAAAGCATTAACTCTTACTGCTGCTAGAGAATTCTGGGAGAGGAAATAACATTGTTGTCTCAACCCTGCCAAGGTCTTCTCTCTATATTTTGTGTATTCTTCTGGGACTACTGATTTCTTATATGGCAATAAACTCAGCATGTTATTAAATAAAATTATTTAAATTTGAATTGTAAGAGCCTTTAAGAAGTGGATGACTCATTTGAGTGGTGAACTGGGTCAGGCAAAGGAAGTGAAGTAATTAGATGATGACTGTCAGATCACCATGTAATCATTTCTTCCTTGAGGCTGGCAATGTGGGCTACATTGTAGCCATAAACACTAAGACATTCTGGATATTCTCATTGTTTTCTAGGAACGCTCCCTTTAGACTCTCTGACCAAAGTCTGATCTTCCCAGAAGACACTGCTGCCTCTGGCACTCAAATTACTAGCTATTTGCCCCTCCTCACTCACATCACTGCCCACAATCAGTGTTCTTTTAGCTCATCGTTGCTGCTTTAAGACCTGTAGTACTCAGCCAGGAGTGGTTCTGCTCCCCAGAGGAGTATCTGGAAAGTCTTAGAGATGGCTTTGGTTGCCACTACAGGAGCAGGTGTCAGTAGCATCTAGTGGATGCAGAGCAGGAATGTACAGAAGCTTTTACAATGCTCAGGACAGCTTCCCCAGACAATTTTCCAGTGCCACTGTTGAGAAGCCCTGTTCTAGACCATTAGCCCTACTTACTTTCTAAAAATAGTCAGCCTTAAAGTTCATGCCTTTAACCTATCCAAGTCGCTATTCCACTAGGATCCAGCCATCTACTAAGCCCCGAATCACTCCCCCTCCTTTGAAGAGAGCATCGAGCTTGCTGCCTCTCCAGTTCTACTACTCATTACTCTTGGGATGATACAGTGCCTACACAGACTTACTTCCATGACCAATTCTCCAGTGTTCTTACCCTACCTTGGCTGTTCAGTCAGACCCTAGACCTTGATTCCAACGGTACCCTCTGATAAGAACTGCCCCTTGCCACCATTCTGCAGCCTGAGCCGCAGCTGGTCTCATCCCTTGCAGAACAAAGCCCCACTGTCCTCCAAATGCTACTTAAGGCCAGACCCGCCGAGAGAAGCTGCTGCGCCATTTTTTCTCAGCCAGCCAGCCTGCTTATTAAACTTTTGGACATGAGATACCTCTCGTGAGCCTCCTTTGTGTGCGATGGGCGGCGTTTTCCTAACACCCTCTGCATAGTCTCATTTTCAAGCACCCTGCAGCCACAACCTCCCATCCTGCCAGTTTCACACCCACTGTAATAACCTGACTCTATTACTTCTAACTCCTTGGAATCCCGAATGCAGTGATTCTAACATTTTCTTACTGTTCCTCTTACCCCTTCATGTCCTTCCCTTTATCCTTACCTTAGAGTCCACAGACCATCATAATCACTGTCTGCCCACAAGCCTCCCTGTCATTCTTGCCTGGCCTAACCCCAACCCAGGTTGGATCCAGCTCTCCATCTGTGCAGAAAACACAACAGCACAATGACTAGTTCCTTTTTAAATTTTTAGCTACTAATTTTAATTGTCTCTTAGTACTGCCCAGTAGCTTGATAGGAGACCTCCTCACTCCATTTACTTTCCTCTCATACTTTCTTCAAACTCTTAATTTCTTTTTTTTTTTTGGTGGGGGGAGCTTAAGTGGGGTTTGAATTCAAGATGGCCATACTTGCCATCTTGGAGCCATGCCTCCAGCCCTTTTCTTTGTTTTTGAGACAAAATCTATGTGGTGAAGGCTGTCTCAGCCTCCCACATGCTGGGATTACAGGTGTGCACCACCACACCCAGGTCAAACTTCACTTTCTACTTCATCTTGCCTTTCCACTTTTGAACTTGCATCCTATTTCACTGAGAAAAAGATTCAGAAGAAGTTTCTTATCCTCCTGCTACATCTATACATCCACTTATATTCCTATTGAAAGTCAACTTTTACACTGTGTTAGATCCCATTCCATCACTACTACCCGGGAACACTGCTCCAGTAATCCCCTCTCCATTGGACTGCTTGTTTTGGAAAAGAAGTATGCTAAAATATTGCCCATCTTGACATACATATGTCCCTCAATTTTTGTGTTAGTTTGGTAGGGCTGTCATAACAATACCACAGGCTGAATGGCTTAACTGCCCTGAAGTCTTGAAGTCTAAGGATCAAGATGCTGGTGGAGAAGGTTGGTTTCTGGTACGTCTGTCCTTCCTGCTGCATCCTCACATGGTGTTTCCTGCCTTGGAGACAGCAGCCTTTAACTGCATCCTCATGGCTTTTCCCATTTCCCTATGCACCAGCCTTATTGGATTATAGGGCTCCATTTAATCTTATAGGGCATTTAACCTTGATTTACCTTTCTAAAGGCTCTACTTCCAAATACAATTATATTGGGAACTAGGGCTTTACCTTGTAAATTTGGGGGCACAATATTCAATCTACAACAATTTTCTTCTTATCAACCTATCTCTGCTACCCTCTAAAAAGATCTCAAAAGAATTGTAGTTTGCTATCTCTACTTCCCCTTCCATTTTCTTGGATCAAATCCAGTCTTCCATCTTCAGAACTCCACTAAAATAGCTGTTTTCAAAGGCACCAGTAATATCCATGTTGCAGTGCTTAGTCTTTATCCTTTTTGGCCAGTCAGCAGTACTTTACATAGCTGATCACTTTCTCCTCCATGAAACAGTCTTCACTTGCTTTACAGCATCACTCTTTTTACTTCTCCTGGCTCACCGATCCTTCTCAGTCTCCTTTGCTCATTCCTCATTTCCTATATTCTACTATTGGAGAGTCAAGGACTAGTTCTCGCAGTTCTTTCCTATTCCCTACATAAGCTCATATTGTTATGACTTTAAACACCACTTATTCACTGACAACTCCCAAGTTTATCTCCACATCAGCTATCTATTCAATTATGTTCAAGAAGTTAAACTTAACATCTCCCCCAGGATGTACAATAGGAACCTCAAATTTAAGATGTCATATGCCTCCAATTTCCAGTTATCACTTTCTCTTGCTCACCACCAAACTGCTTCTTCTGCAGTCTTCTCCATCACTTTAAAAGGAAGACAAGCCTGTCCTTAAAGTTGGAGTCTGTCACACCCTATCCAATCCACGGACAAATCTTACCAGCCCTCTCTTCAAAATACAAGAGACCTCACCTGAAGTTTTAGTTATCTTCTAACCAGTCTCCGTTTCCACCCTTACTCTCTTACACTGTATTCTCCCAATAGAGAACTCCTTTCAAGTATCTCTGATCAAACCCATTTCACTCAGAACAAAAGCCAGCATCACACTTGCTTCATGTCAGTATGCATGACCAGCATGAGCTGGATCCCTGCTCTTCTCTCATTCCCCACCCATGCAACCATTGTAGTTCTGCCATGATGTGCCTAATGCTCCCAGCTGTCTTGGAGCCTTTCATCTCTGCCCCTCTATCTGAAATGCTTTTCTTGCAGATACCTCATGATTCCCTCCTAATTCCTCCAGGTTTTCTGCTCTAGTGTCAATTATCCTAATAGCGAGGTCCTTAACTACCCTGTATAAAACAGCAACATCCCAATCAAGACTCCCTATCACCCTGATGGCTTCATCACCATCTACTGTGTGTATTGTTTCATGTTTGTCCTTTCATACTAGACTGTAAGATCTATGAGGGAAGGACTTTGACACTTACTAATGACTATATCACTGCCATGTAAGACCTTCTTGGTGCATAATAGAGACTTAATATTATGTTGAATGAATAAAGAGCTAATTGGTAGAATTTTTAGTTTGTACTTGATATCTATTTTCGTTCCCCAATATTGCTCGTTTAACCAAATACCACTGGGAAAATATCTTTGCCTTCTCTCAAACTTGTTGGACAAACTGTATACACCTGAGGGACCAGCCTGGCATTTTCCAATTACCTCACACATCTACAGAATTTTCTTTTTTTGCTATGAAGAAGCCTGTTGTATTACATCAGCTTTCCCCTGGTGTGTTTTTATGAATCAGATGTCAGAACTGTGGATTAAAAGTTTACAATTTATTTCAGTTGGAATACATTTCAGTTAATTGCACAACTCTCATAGATGAAGTTATATAGCAATAGAAATTTTCTATGAGACATCTGTGTTCTGGCTAATGCCTTAGCCATTAAGCATTATTAATGGGAACGGTTGTCACAAATATTTAAAGTCTGTACTGGTGGCAATGGGGGACACTCTTCCTTGGCCGGCAAAGTAATGGAATTGTGATCCTGTTTAATTCAACTGCTTGCTGGCTGCAAGGCCTGGTAAGAGAGTGATCTTTAGAGCCCAAGACTCAAAAGGTGAGGAAAAAAGAAATCAGAGGATTTAGGAATTGTCCCAGTGTAACACAGAGCTTCAGAAATCATCTTTGGGTTTTGAACATTGAAGCATCAACAAGATACCACATTACGATGTAAGTTATGCCACTGGTAAGAAAAAAGAGCCACAAATTAGAGCCTCAGTCCTTTGGGATGTTGTAACAGGATAAACACCTTGGCTGTCTTGGGTAATAAACAGCTATCTGCCAGGCACCCATTCTCTAATCTTTAAATGCAATCATTGCTCAACTTTACTCAGAGGATGTCAGGCTTGGTTCAGTGATGAGGTAGCTTGATGAAGTGAATGTTAATTAGAAACAGAATATAGGAAGAGGCATTCCGCTCTGCCTTGTTAGCTCTTGCATATTGATGGAGGAATTCCTTCATTACATCCTCAAAGATCTCCCCAGACTAGGTCAAACTGCTATGAGCCCTCCCAACTACACATGCCACTCCGTCAGCACTCATCACCATGCCACAGCACGGTCACGCCGAGTTATTTGATGCCTCTCTTCCATAGTAGGCACTAAGCCTCCAGAAGACAAGCTCAGGTTTGTTTTTTGGTTACCATTTTACTTCCAGTGCCCCACAGTGCCTGGTATGCATAAGTACATGATACATATTGTTTTAAACTAATGTAGGAATAATTCAGCAATAGAAATATCTCCCTATCCTTCCCTTCCTCATACTCTCCACCTACATCAGATTTAGCTAAGCAGTCTGGGTAAAAAAAAGCCCAAGATAGTTAACACGTTGTGTGGCTACAAGTGTCATCTTTATTCCCTTCCTAGGGTAGGCTGCTGTTCTCATTTCCATCTCCATCTCTCAGCTACCTACTCCTGCAGTACACTGTACTACAACTGACCCTAATTTCCTTTTTATTGATGAGAACACTAAGATTATATGCCTAGCCATCCTCAAGGTCTATTAGAATTCTGTGTGCCTGCAGGTATGCTCTGTAGTTCTTCCTGTACTTTCCTAGGGCCAGATGCCATATAATAAATAACATCCCATGTTGTAAGCCCAACTCTCTCAAGGTATTAGACATCAAGATTTCAGATAAAGGTGGTTGCCAGTTACCCATGCCTATAATCCTAGTTACTTTGAAGGCAGCAATCAGGAGAACTGCAGTTCCAGGAAAGCCTGGGCAAAATGTTAGTGAGACTCCCATCTCAACCAACAGCTGGGCATGGTGGTGCATGACTGTCAGTCCAGCAATGGCAGGAGGCATAAAATAGGAGGACTATGTTCTAGGCAGACCTGGGTTAAAAAGTGAGACCCTGTCTCCAAAATAACCACAGTAAAAAGGGCTGGAGGTGTGGCTCAAGTGGTGGAGTACCTGCCTCGCAAGTGGGAAGCCCTGAGTTCAAAACCACAGTACCATCAAAAAATTTTTTTCAGATAACCAGAGAAACTACACAATACTGAAGTCTCCATGATTATCCTGCATCACACCTTCCCCCTACCAAAAAAAAACAGAAAGAATTTCAGATAACCAGAGAGACCATATAACACTGGTGGCTTAGAGCCATTTCACTGAGAGAGAACCAGAGCAAACAACTCAGTATGTTCCTAAATAGTCATTCTAGGTCACTGCATGATTGCCAGAGAAAAGGGTCATGTCCCATAAAGATGTAAGTCTGCCTGTTGCTGTTCACAATGACTGCATGGCAACATAAATCCTGGAGGGATTTTTAAAGGACCCAGGATTCCACCCAGCCATGGTATGTATGATGATGTTCATTAGATCAAACTATAAACTTTCCATGAAGGAAATTCTGCCTTGAAGAAATATCTTGTAAATTTGGTGTTCAGGAATCTGTGCTGTGCTGAGTTGCTCCCCCTGCTCAATCAGTTGCACCTATGTACTTTATTCTCCTTTCCCCATCCTTGTCCCACAGTACTGTCACTAGCGCTTGTATGGCACTGTGTTGTTTATGAACCATTCATGATCCATGCCCAAGACATGGGTAGGCAGGCAGATGTAAAAAGAAACCCTGGCAGCAGTGGCGTCCCATACAGGAAGTCTGGCTGAAACTGTAGGATTCACAGTGCAGCACCTCAATTAGATAGTTACAGTGCGAGATGGTTTCTAGCGTGCAGAAACCATCCAGACTTCAAGAGATTGATTCCAACAACCCAAGTGAGCATGAGGGCTAGAGTTATACCTCAGCCCTAAGAAAATCTAAGACAGAAAAAAAAATGAACATGACCATGAGACAGACAGCAGAATGCCAGTAACATTCATGAGACATTTCCATCTGGGGACTAGGATCAAAGAACACGTTTGGTGTACTCCATCCCATTAGGACAGTGGTTCTACCCTTTTCTACATCTATAGTAGCATCTCACTACCATAGGAACAATGACCCAAGAAATAATTCAGTGATACTGCTAGTTTACCAGCAGAACAAGGACAATTAGACAGGAGGAATTTATCTGAGAGATTACATTTGTCAGTTGGACTTGGAACATCTGAAGATTCTAAGTTATAATACCTGCACTCTTCTCCAAACTAAAAGACAGAAAGCTTAAATCTGAGTTAAGAGTTCCTCGCCCCAACAGGAGTTGGAATGGACACTAACAATGTCCATCTAATACCCTCCCAACTGACATTATTGATCTGTGTGGCCAAACAAGCTATAGTATGTATATTGTTATCTAATATCCAGTGCAGCATGAGATATATGCCAATTCATACATTTTCCTTGGTTGAGATGCCCAAGAAATCCATAACTAGCCTAATATCAGATAATCAGTTAATGGCAGAGGCAGAGTCTGGATGCTATTGTTGGTCTGAGAGCCATTACTTCTCGGGTGATTATCTTTACTTTGATCTTGTAACTTCAAAAGGGTAATTTTACTGCCTCCATTTCCTGGTTTTTACCAGGGCCCTTATTGTAGCTGCTAAATTCTGAAAACAATGTCCATCTTACAAATGAGGAAAATAAAATGTGATTTTTGAAAAAAATCATTAAGTGGTTACACACCCAGCTAAGGCGAACCCAAGTTGAAGTTCCAAAGCAAAATGCCTCGCACCAGGCCACACTGTCTTTACCTTCAGATCTTGTCCTGAGAGTGAACCTTTGCTTGAGCAGATTCTAGTGTCTCAGTCCACACCGTGACTGGATTAATATAGGGTTTGTCTCCTTATCCAACTCAAAGGAAGAAATAGTTATTTCCAGGAAAAGCTATTTTTCTTTTTCTCTAGCAGAAAATAACAGAGTAAGTTTTGGGAGCTATTACTAATGGGAAGAAGGAAATGTGAATAATTTAATGAAGAATACAAGTCTCAGGTGTATTAAGGTACTAACTGCTATATAAACAACCCTAAAGTCTCAGTGGCTTCAAAAATAATTTCTTGGTCCTGCCAGTGTAGTCAAGCTGGGTAAGGAAGGGGGTTCATATGAGGAAGGCTTAGTCCACAGAGTCATTCAGGGACTGAGTGTAACTAAAGAATCTATGGTCTAAACTAGGTTAAGACACCCTGATCTAGTGCTTTCATCATTCCTGAGGCCACATTGTCTTCCCTTCAGTTCCTTTACATCCAGCAGGCTGAGGGCCAAGGGAAGAAACAGCATGAAGACCATTTGGAAAGTTGAAAGGGCAGCCTAGAAACGACCTCCATCACCTCTCTTCATGTTCCCTGGACTAGAACTCAGTAATGTGGGCCTGACTGGGAAGTGAAGTCTCTTGATGCCTAGAGGAAAAGGAAATGGGGTTTGGTGAACGTATAGCATTATGTCTGTTACCCTGTCAAACACATATTTATTAGATTATACCAATGATAACAAGAATACCATATGATACAATGGTACAAATACTAAAATGATACAAAATACTACATGATAGAAATACTGATAACAAATGATATAAATTCTAAATGACAGTGATAAAAATAAATGACACAGTCACGCTGATGCTAAGTGATACACTACTAAATGAAGCAATGATGTGATGAGGCTGAATGAAACAATGATACAGTACTTGACATCAGTTCATGTGTAAAGCAACTCCTTGACGTTAGACCTGAGAGGAGAAAGGCCTAAACTGCGACAGCTGCAGAGGGATGGCTGGCTGTGGGGATCCACTCTGTTCAGCCCACAGAGATACTGACAGGAGCAGCCTTGGTAGCAAGAAGAGACGAAGTGATGGGATGGAGTCCCTGTTAGAAAAGGTAGTAACACTGGTTTTCCCGTTGGCTGAGGAAAAAAACATGCAACACAGGTTCTTTCTGTTTTGTTTTGAGATAGCATCTTACTATGTAGCCACGCTGTCAACTCACGATCATACTGCCTTTGTTCCTGGGTGCTGGGATTCTAGGTATGTGCCACTGTGCCCAGCAACTGAGATTTCTGAGCTCTACTAAAGCATATATACAATTCTGCAAGAGTTCTTCCAGAACCACCTAAAGGCATTTTTTATCTGAAATAACTGACTGGTTTCTATGCAGCTTATTAAACAAGCTGATTGAATGACATGATTGATTAACCAACTGGCTGACATGATACCCACCTTCTAGGTGGGTATTCTAGGGATAAGATAATGCAGCATTTAGAGGAGAGTGTTAAGGCTTGAAGGTGAAATGCGATATTAGAGCTCAAGGGTCATGGCCAGTATGTCATTCCCAGATCCTAATACAAACCAGCAACGGCACTGTTCTCCTCCTACAGACAGGAGGTTAGATGCCAAAAAGGACTTTGAGGTCAGCCAAGGTGAGCTTGGTGACAGTTTCTCCAGATCCTGATAGAACCTGTTTGGCCAAATCTTTCTTTTTTTCCTGGAGCTGCAAGATCTTCTCTTCCACTGTTCCCTCACAAACAAATCTAAAAAGCAAACAAATAAGCTATCAGAAACCCAAAGTGGCTTATTTAATAACACACTCAAGCTTGCAAATGCTTCAGTTTTTAGGTGAGCTTTCTTCCTTGAAGTTTTCTTAGAATTGGTTGATAAGTGTCCCACACAGCCTTGATTAAACAGATGTCCACTTATATTATGTGATTCAGGGTGACTTTATTTCCTCCTGAAGCCAGGGTAAATGAGAAAGCCCCAAGAAGCAAAAGATATCCCTATCTAAGGAAAGTATAGAGACTCAGCTTTCACCCAAGAAAGCTGCATCTTCATAAGGTTAGGGGCCTCAGAGTTTATTGAGTTTCTGCCAGGTATGGATATGCTGCTTAAGTACAGCAAGGTCTCATTTCTTGTTAATTCACACTGAAAACAGGCTTTTCAAACTGAGAAAAACACCATCATTGTCATTCATTCACTCATTCGACAAGTATCAATTAAGTACTTGCTACACACCATGTACTATGTGAGGTGTGGGGATAAGAGGAATATAGTTTTGCTCTGAAAAACACAACAGACACAGGAAAATTAAAAAAAAAAACTAATAACAATAATAACTAGAAAGTGCTACAATGGAAGTATGTCCACTGTGCAAAAGGAAGAAAAGGAAATCTGTCTAGTGTAATTGAAGAGGGCTTCATTAAAGAGATACGTCCCAATGTGTAGACTGTAGGATAAGCATGGGTTTGCAGATGGATAGTGGGGAGGGATCACAGGGAACAGGAATATGTGCAAAACCACAGTTAAGTTTTAGAACATGTTATGTTACAGAAAGACCAGTCATTTAATCTACTCTACCAGGGGCAAAAGCTCAAGGGACTGGTAGGGCCAGATCATTTGTGGTTGTACATGACAAGCTAAGACATTTAGATTCTTCTATGGGAAGTGAGAATCACTGAAGAATTTGAGGGGTTGAATTCCCAATCAGATTGGTCAGTGAGGAAGAGCCCTCTGGTGGTGATGCACTGGTAGAGCTGGCAAGAGGAAGTTGGCTGTAGAGATGGAAAGGAAGGAATGGTTACTAGAAACATCAGAAAATATGACTAAAGGACTTGGCACATGAAAAAGGAGAAAGAAGGAGTCTACTTTCTAGTTGTATGATTAGACAGTGATATTATTCACAAAGACAATGAATACAAATGAGTAAGATTAGGGGAGGTAGGAAAAAACTACTTGAAGTTGTGACACTTTGATCCTGGAGCTGTAATTATCTGTGTCATATAGAGGAAGGTGCTCAACAGTTCATTTTAGGAGCTGAATGCACAAATGAAATGAATAAATGCAGATGAGTTTAGCAGGGACTTGGATATCTGGGTCTGAGGTTTAGGAGACAGTGGAAACTGAATATACAGATTTTGGGCTTATTGGAGTGGATGGAATTTTTAAGGGAGGGACATACAGAATGAGCAGAGAAGAGAATTAAAGACAGGAAAACTACCATGCATATTACATTTGGCAAATTTGGAAGTCACTGGTGCCCCTTAATAAGAGCAGCTTATACAGAGCAATAAGGGTGAGAGCCAGGTTGCAAAGACTGAAGAAAGGATGGGAGACAAGTTAAGTCCAGACACACAGGGATTTCTAGATTCTTTAGGAAACTTGGTCATGAAAAAGGAAGAGGGAAAAAGGGCCACAGCAAGTGTGGATTGTGGCATTCAGGCAGGCTTTGCTGTTGTTCTTAAAGACAGCAGATCCCACACAGAGGCATTCTGCAAAATGGGCTTGTGTTCTTCAAAAAGTCAACATCATAAAACACAAAGGAAGACTGAGGCACTGTGTTAGATTAAAGGACACAAGGTGTGACAACCACATGCTACATGGGATCTGGGATTTTCTTCTCTGAAGGATGCTCTGGGATACTGAATGAAATTGAATAAGGTCTGCTTATCAGGTATTATACTGATGTTAACATTCTGATTTTGTGGTTATGTAAAAGAATACCCTTATTTTCAGGAAATGGATAAAGGAGCATGGCATCTACAACTTACTCTCTAATGATCCAGAAAAAAAGCTTATACACACAAGTACTTTTTGATACTCTTCTTGCAGCATTTCTGTATGTCTGAGATTAAAGTTAAGCAAACAAACAAGAGCTGGTAGAGTGATTCAAGTGGTAGAGCACCTGCTTAGCAAGCATGAGGCCCTGAATTAAAAAAAAAAAAAAAAAAAAAAAGCCCTTTCCTAGGGCTCTCTTTGACCAAGAGAGCTCACCGTCATACACAAACCTGTTCTTCTTTGTCAGGGACCAACTCCAAGTTTACCTCAAATTGCTTCTTTCCTTCCTGACCACAGTACACCTGAGGGCATACCTCAGGAGCGTCATTACTAAAGTGACCCCAACTTTATATTCTATTTAAATACTCCCAAGAAAGAGTTCACAAATGCGGATGTTGGGGACTTGGGGGCCTTTACTTACCTGTGTATGACAACATTTTTCTGCTGCCCTACTCGGTAAATTCGGTCACAGGCTTGATCTTCAAGTGACGGGTTCCTATTAGAGAAGAGGTGATGCTCAGATGCACTGGCATCCTAGACCAGAGATGACAAACTATGGCCCACAGGCCAAGTCCAGGCCATAGCCCATTTTTGTATGCTTCTTTAGTTATATTTCAAAGAGGTTTATGAAAACAAAGCAAACAAAAGATAACGAAGAATATGTGACAGAGAACTGTGTGGCCTGCAAAGCCTGAAATATTTACAAAGGTTTGTCCACCTTGTTCTAGGCCAAACCTGGGGTCAGGTTGCCAATAACAGCTCTTAGCACTGTCATCAGTTAATAACTGGAAGTTATGCACTTCTCTACTAGCTGGATGGCTTTTGGCATGTTATCTAGCCACAACCCACTAGGCTTCAGACTCTACTTGGAAATATAAGGGCTGGCTAATATTCTCAAATATTTACCTTTTTCAACTTTAATATTCTACAATTCAACTACGGAGTTTTATTTGTTTCCTTCTTTATAGATCCTCATTACCAATTCCAAGTTAGTTTCTCATTTTACTCTTTACAATCTTGGGTAGCATTTTTCCACCTCAGAAAACAGCATAATTCCTAGTATGTCTTCCTCACTCCCGGGTATGTGTGAGTCCCAAGTAAGACTTAAACACGTTCTCCCAGAAGATAATAGGTTAGTCTGTTTGCACCAATCCAGGCTGTCTGGAGAATTAGACAAATAATTCCAGCAACAATGCCTGGTACAGCAATTCTTGACTGGCATAGCTAGAAAACCAGAAACTGGTACTAATTATGGGACTATGCCCTAGTAACACATTGATTCATTCATCTCGCATCTAGAAAGCATGCTGTGGTGCTTCTAGCACTGCTACTACTTACAAGGAATCCAAAGGCTAGGTATTAAGCAGATTTCTAACAAGTGGAAAAATTCTTTGCTATTTCCTTGTGAAGTAATGCATCTAAGGTTGAGATTTCCTTGGATCTCACTCAACAAATATGTCTGGAATATGGTCTTTTTGAGAAGAGATAAAACTGAGTGATGCTAGCTCTTAGCCATGGAGAAAAGCTGAACTTCTAGTTCCATGGAAAAGGATGTTAGATTAACAATAAAATGGATGAACTATTTTAAGTAGTTATTTGAAGCTTGTTCAGGAATTCAGGAGTATCACCTAGACTTACACCCTGTTTAGACATGCACACACAAAGGCATCTCCATAACACAAACAGAACATACTCAACCTTAGAAGTCAGGCCCTACTACCTCTCTAGAATACTGATCTCCCTGCTATGCTGGGACAACTCAAGAAAAATCCAGAATCATTACCAGTGCATGTCCAGAAGAAAAAGATGGTTTCCTCCAGTCAGGTTTAGACCAACACCTCCAGCCAAAAGAGAGATTAGCATAACCTTCAAAAGAAAACATACCATTGACTTTTAATTTCTTTCGGCAGTTCTGGAGTTTGCAAGCATTATTTCATACAGATTTGCTCTCATAATACATCTGCAATAGGCTGGATCTTCAGGGGTCCCAAAGGTCCATGTGGTAAAGGCTTGGTCCCCATCATGGTGCTATTCAGAGGTGATAGAATCTTTAAGAGATGAGGCCTATTTGGACTTCTTTGGGTCATTAAGGATGTGCCCTTGAAGGGGAAAATGAGAGACCGACCTTAATACCTACCTCTTTCTCTTTTTCATTTCCTGGCCATGAGGTAGTGGCTTAGCTCTGTCATATACTCCGGCCATCATACACTGCCTTGCTTCATGCCCAAAAGCAATGGGGCCAAGTGATGTTAGACTGAAACCTCCAAAGCCCTGAGCCAAAACGTACCTTTCCTAAGTTGATCATTCCAGGTATTTGTTATGGTGACAGAAAGATGACTAACACATCTTTCACCTCAGCTTCAAAACCAAGATCCAAGCAGATAAGCAATGAGTTCCGATCAAATTACATTTTGAAACAAGATGTAACCTCCCATGCATCATCTTTGAAAAAATTCTCATCTCTCTTTTTTTTTTTGCGTGGTATTATTTTTTTTCTTTGTCGGGGGGCAAGTTAACCTGAAAAAATTAATTGAGTGCGTACCAAAATACACGGATACTATAATTTAGAGCCCTGGGAGTGGTGAGCTCAATAAACTTTCTATTAACCAAATTATATCTGTTTACCTGCCCTGCCCCTCCATTACTATAATTCTTCTGCCTATCATTCAACTAATGCATTCTAAATCATTATCTATAATTAGATGACTCGGTTCTTCTATATTTCCCACCTATACTTTAAGGTTTGCTTCCTCCACAAAGATTCTCCTGATCCTAACCAGCTCTGCTCTGAATTTCTTTTTTAGTTTAATCCTCATATTTTATTCTCTTTAGAGTACTTGTGTACTTTGATAGCTACCCTAATAAATGTCTAATAAATTAAAAACATTTGGAGGGATGGAGGCGGTAAATATTTTTAAGTTGAGCCACCGTATAACTGAGAACCATTTGCTCCTTAATTATAGAGGTCTGTTATGCCCAGCTCATACCTGAGGGCCCCTGGAGTGGTTAAATGCTTCTACCAAGTCCATCCTCTGTTTGGGATTGACGGAGCCATCAATGGTGGCATAACTCAATCCATGCTTCTTAAGGTGCATTGCTACCACTTTCAGCATGCTGGTCCACTGGGAGACAATGACACTAGAAAGAAGGACAAAATAAAAACCAACAAACTTATTGGCAGGGTTCCAATGCCCCTGTCAATCTTAAGATTAGTTACAAAATGCAGATAAGGAAAGGCCTTCTTGTTATCTGAGGGGAAAGGTCACTGCAATAGTATGGATGAGTGAACCCCAAATATCCATGTGTAAAGGATTAGTCCCAGGGTGGTGGCATGGGAGATGTTGTACACCTTGAAGAGATGGGGCCTAGTGGGAGGTGCTGAGGTCACTGGAGGCACGCCCTCTAAGGGGATTATGGAACGCCATCTCTTCATCTTCCTAGTCTCTCTGCTTCCTGCCTTGATATATGACCACTTGCTCTGAAGTGCTCCTGCCATTGCCATCTATCACCCTCATCAAAGGTCTACTCAATGAGGCCACTCAGTCTTGGATTTAAGCCTCCATGATCATTAGCCAAATTCAATCTCTCCTTACTTCCTGTAGGTATTCCACTGGAGTGACGTAAAGCTAATACAGGCACACATTTAGGTTATATTGCAAGTTTATAATGCTTCTAGTTATTTCTAGACTCCATTCTTATCCTGCGCTAAGAAAAGTCAGAAAAAGTAGTGGCTAGACTAAACAACTCCAACTTCCTTTTATTTTGCGGGGGAGGAGTCTAGTATTCATCTAAAGATCTGTGGCCCTGACAAAAAGGATTCTAACCACCCACCCTGTGACAGCCAGAGCAACGAGCTGCCAGGGCTCCCACCCCACAAACCATGTTTTATTTGGAGATTTAAATTTTTAGATTGAAGTATTCCATATATACAAATGCAAACGTAGAGTGGATATACAGGTATAACAAATGACAAAATGAACCCCCATGACAAGCCCCCAGCTGAAGAAGAACATAACCAGCACTGCGGCAGCTCCCTGCCTGATTTTTCTCTTGGTTCTTCCTATATTTCTCTGCTTTGCAACACTGTTTCAGATGCCTGGCTAACTCTGACCCTCTAGGGATATCCTTTTCAATGTGCCACAGATATTTTAATTAGAAATCATGGGGCATTTGTACTGCAGCCTCAGTGCTTTCTGCAGAGCATGACTGAAGGGCCTTGATATAAAAGCTAAGGTTTATGACTAGCAGCAATATCATATTTTCTGGCTTAATTATAACCAATGCTTGAATAACAAATAACACACTTACCTCTTTTGGGACCCTGGATTTCTTTGAATTGCCTCCAATTCTGCTAACAGAGATGAGATCTGCGAAAAGGTTACATTAACATTGCAGTTTAGGCAATTCACCCTTCTCCATCCTTCTCTCTCCTATTACTGAAGCAGTCTCTTGGATGGGTGCTACACTTCTAGTCTGACCTGTCTCTATTCCATTCTTCCCTATGCAGCCAGGCTATTTCTAATATGTGAGCTTGTCACTGTCCTGTCCTGGATGATGCCCCTTCCATGACCTTTCCATTTAGGATAAAGCCCAAGGTACTTAAATGACCTGCTGAATCCTTGCTGCTCTGGCCTCTACTTTCTTTTCTAAGTTCATTTCTCACTATGCCCTCCTCAAATGACACTTTAGTCATACCAAAATTCTTTCTCTGATAAGCTTCGCCTTGTCCCATCTTTGTCTATTTGGTTCCTCTGTCTAAGTACACTCTTTCAGTCAGCCTATTGTCACTCTTTGGAGGTCTTCCCCAAGCCCCAAAGTATGGCTTAGGCACCCACTGCCATAAGCTACTACTGCAGTTTGTCTCTACTGCTGTGGCCCTAAGTGCATTATATCTCCATTGCTTATTAATCAACTCTTGCTTCCAGGACTTGAAATGTGCCAAGGAGTCAAAGGCAGCACGTCTTGCCCCTAGGATTTTGCTAGAAGAAAGAGGGTAGTATTCTAATATTTACAAAAGAAAGAGTTTTACTCATTTTGAGGACTGTTCCAAACATGTAAAGAAGAGGACCTGTGGACTGGGGAGTGATTGTTAAAGCTTCCAAACAAGCTCTCTGGGTATCTATTTACCAAGATGCCCTCAAGTACACTCACATCCACATGGAAGCAGTCAGTCAGACACAAGGGCATGACTTTGGAGAGCAGATGGTTTCATTCTTCTGACCTCTCAAAGTGTCTAAGAGCCCTAGGGTTCATCCCCAGAATGATGGAGGAGGAAGAAAACTGGTCTGGAAGTCAATCAGGAGGTGAATGTTGTTCTTGCTCAGCCATCACACAGCTATTCTACCTTGGAATCCAGATTCCTCCACACTAAAGAAGGGCTTGAGCCAGATGTGTCAAGGTGAGCTAAGCTCGCACATTCTAAGCTGCAGAGCTCTACTACGTGAGGCTGCTTTTTTAATCTTAGTAAACATTCTGTCGCTGGGCAGGAAGTGAGGCGAGGACTGTATCACTTGATGAACGGGAAGGAAAGCAGGTGCATCTTCTCAGTTAACTGTAAAAAAGAGATACTGAAGTACCTGGTGTCCTAGCAACTTGAGGCTGTGGAAAGTGCCATAACTCCCATCTGAAAAAGCTTGGCAGTAGGTATTTTGCGAAAACTGAAGTGGGAGGGCTAGATTCACAGTCCATGAACTTGGTTCAAATTCCAGAAAGATCCCCTCCCCACATGAAATAACCTTGCATGGTTTAAACTACTATTAACGAACAGGCTCATGTTAAGAAGCCATGTGAGTAAGTATTACCTGAGCATCAGAATAGGAACACAAATTATTAGGAATGTAAGTTTTAACATAGTTGCTAACTCTAAAGATACTAGATATGAACTCTGGCCACATATGGGGCTCTTATATTTCTCTCAGTTATTTGTGATAAAGACCTAAGTAGATACTTTAAAATTTAATTAAGAGATAGGTAGCATTTCTTTTTAAAATAATTCCAACCCCCTGGCAGTGATCTCCTTCCTGGTTTATATATATATTTTTAAAGACTTCGAAAAGAGATTGAGACTAGGAGTGGCAGTTTACAACCACAACACAGAGAGAAAAACAAGTCCCACTTTCAGGGCATGCAGGATAATGGAACATATTCCAGGCCAACAAATGGGCAGGATTCAAATTACTGCATAGCTCAGGCTTCCTCTAATAGGACTCTTTAGCCTTAAAAATCTTTGATGAAAATAGAACAGGATGACTAAATGAGGAAGGCAACATAAGAAACAATACTCGCAGATGGAGGCCTTTCATAAGTCAAAGCAATTGGCACTTGCTCACAGGTATAACACACTCTTTAGGGTCAAGCCTTTGTGGCTTCCTTTCAAGCTTTCCCTGAATAAATCGCTCACTTGCACAGGCCTCATCCCTAGCATAAACCTGGCAGCTTATCTCCCCAGCAAACTGCGACAGAACGTCTGCCTCAATGGCAGAGCTGTCCCAAATCACTCTGTAAGCCTACTTATGAAATAAAACTTTAGTGTTCTTCACGACATAAAATGACGCTGTAAGACAGGAAGGTCTAATCTCATACTTCTAGCTTTGCCATCAAGAGGATGCACCCACTGGGATGAATAGGTGCTTCAATACAGGAAAAGTAAGAGAATCCAAATCTCTCCACTAAGAACAGAGGTGACCAAAGTACCTTGGTGCTCTCTCGTATGTCTTCAAAGAGCTCCACCTTGAAGCACATGCCATTAAGGGAGACAGCTGGGGACGTCTGTGAGTTGGAAAGTTCTGATAAAGTCAAAGCACTGAGCTGTTCTTCCAGTGACAGGACAAGACCTTCGTTCTTCAGTTCTGTGGGATCCATAGCCTGGGTGGAACAAAGAGACAGGAGAAGTTCGGCACTCAGGGCAAGAAGCCTTACTACTTGATGAGGCTCTGGTTTTCAACATTCACAGAGCAAAATGTCTTATAATTTAACTCCTCAGAAAAACCCTGCTTAAAGTGTGATCTTGCAAGTTTTTTCAACAGATTAAAGATAAACCAAATGATAGAATTTTAAAAAGACTTGCCAGACAGATTAATAATCTTCTATTTTTCCCAGCTAGAATAATACAGTTAATTAAGCTACTACTAGTCAAAATACATTACTACAGCCTCTAAAGTAATATATGCATCTTGATTTTGGATGTGCCCCTATCCAATATAAAGGCAACTTTTCAATTTGTTTAACCCATCGGGTTTTCACATCCAGACCTCAAATCCTCAATACTAAACACCAATAACTAAATTAGCTTTATGACATTCTGAAATACCAAAGCATTCCCAAGTGGTTTCCTTGTTATCAAAATGTCATTTCCCATTCTAACACAAAGTATACTCCCTTGATGCATGGCAATCATCAATCATCTTTATCACTTAATAAAGACTAATGTGAAATAAAGTAAAATAATCAAGCTCCCTTGCTCCACTCCACCAAAAGGCGAAACAAACCCCACCCGCCATCCCCTTCAGTCCAGCAGAATGGAGCACGTGCTAAAGGTGTTCTCTCACCGACTTCAGTAAGGAAAGGTGGCAGCAGCACTGGCGGAGCCGCAGCAGCTGGGACAGTATGTGCACAGTGCTGGACCTCTGGACGTCTGCAGCTGCAGAGTGCTCAATCCCAGTGGACCTGAACTCCTGTGCCACTTCCAAGAGAAATGAAAAACCCCAGGATTAAAACGGACACATCTAGTAAAGAACTGGGAACTTAAATGAGCTTATTTTAAATTCTTTTGATTTGAGAATTAAAAAGAAGTAAGATCGCCAGGTCTTGTGTTTCCAGATCAGTGTATTTTACTCTGGTTTGAGGTTCTTAGCTAAAGTCTAATTTCTGATACCTAGAATTCATAACTTCTCATTTCTGTTATTTTAATGGATCAAAAGCCCCATTTTCATTAGCAATAGGTATTTATGAGTGTCCCCTGACTTACCTCTACTGAATGGATTATCAGGGCTTCTTCCAAATTGGTTGCCCTCACTTTCATGTCTTTTTAGATAGGACTGTAGAGCTGACCTGCCTCAGATTTAAAAAGAAAATGTGCATACAATGGTCACTAAGATGAAACAAGTTGCCAGGCGCCAGTGGCACATGCCTGTAATCCTAGCTACTTGAGAGGCTGAGATTGGGAGGAGCATGATTTGAGGCCAGTGCATGCAAATAGTTCATGAGATCCTATCTTCAAAATAACCAGAGCAAAATGGAAGCATGGCTCAAGCAGTAGAGTGCCTGCTCTGCAAACGCAAATCCCTGAGTTCAAACCCCAGTCCTACAAACAAATTAAAACAAACAAACAACAACAACAACAAAAACAGGCTTACAATGGTCATTGCTTAATTGTACTTTAGTGGGACCTTGGTAAATCAGATGTGGACTCATTAAATGATGCCAAGCTTATAGAAAATGTTGGCCAAGGTAATGCAAAAGAAATGATTATTTTAAAAAACATTTAAAAAATCAGCTAACATATATGGGGTATAAAAAGAGAAAAAAGCATCTACAATGGAGATGAGAGGGACCAAGTAGGAGAGAACAAATCTAGAATTAAGCACATGACAAGAGCTCAACAGGAAGTGCAAAAACCACTATGAAGTATTACAAACCAGTCCTTTGTAAGTTCCATGGAGATGCTAGGTGACAGGTCACAAGTCAAAGAGATACAATTTTCGAAAATACCCCCAAGAGGAACGGACAGGTTCCATACTCTGAGACTTCCATGCAAGGAAGTCAATGAAGAACAGGTTCAAAATTCTGCTTTCAATGTGTATGAGACAGAGCGGTGAGACAGCGAGAAAGGAAGGGGAAGAAAAGGAGATTTTAGAAAGGAATATAGGTATTTAACACATCAATACAGTTTAAGGGAATTTGACCTTTGACTCACTTTCAAGGAAAGACAACAACGCACGTGAGGAGATACTTCTTCTGACACACACCTTGATCTTGCGAAAAAGACACTGTAAACAGTCTCTTCATCTTCAGAAAGCCTTAACCGGTGCAGTTGAAATTTACGCTGGGGCAGCATCACCTGGAAGAATAAAAGCAAAAAACTAGCGTGAAGACAGCAAATTAACCAAGCCCTCCAGAGCAAATTTCTCAGACTACTGCTGGGAATCTAGCCAGTCCCTGGAATGTAGCTTCTAGCCTTCTCAGAAATAGCACAGCAGCGCTGCTGTAATGTGAGGCACAGGACTGCAGTCCTTGGCCTTCTCACAGGGAATAAGGAGACTCAAAGAGGGCTCCTGAAGCACAGCAGTTAGCTGCTCAACCCGACAAGGATGTGGTTACCCTCCTTCCCTGGCCTTCCTCAGAAACAGGTATAAATTTGATTACCAAGGGTTTACCAGTGGAGTCCAGTTGGTCTTTTGTTCTCCTCAGCAAAAGGCTCTTGGTTAAAATGCTTAGGCGTTCTCCTCCTTTCTTTGACCCGTTGTCAACTTGACTTTTCCAAAGATTAAACTCATCAAATGGAGAACAGCGTAGAAACCTTTTTTGAGGGTGGAAGAAAGAATTCACATTAGGGGAAGACAAATATGAGAAAATGGAGTAAATGTTTAAAGTAAGACATAAGAGGTTATGTCTTTATCCAATCATTTTTAAAATCAAAGTTCACGGTAAACCTCAGCTAGACAGATAAAAAGGATCCAAGTCAATAATGAAAACCACATTATAAAAATGTGACCTTTGCCATTAACAATGTCTACATGGTCACGACAGTATGGACAACCAATATGTAGAATTTATTCCTCAAGCTTCAAAGGCTAGCAAAGAAATTCCACAGCCTCTCATGGTCTGACTTAATAAAAGGAATTATTTTAAAATCAGCATTCTTTTCTGTTTGGTTCAAATAAAGTGTAACCCTCACCTAGTGCATATGTTTTAAAGCAGAAACAGTAAAAAACATTCACTGGACTGAAGAAAGATGATTTTTGCTTTCTTCAATTCAATCTGTCTTATATTTTTGCATATATAAGGGCTGGATGTAATCAAAGTCTTATATCAGCCAGTCAATCAAAAATATTTTCTCATAAATATTAATTCTTTTGCCATTTAAAGGCTGACAGGCTTGCCATCTGCTACACGAGATAATCTGGCACACACTGTAGCTTTATCATGAGACACAGAATGATGATGAAGGGTTATGGACAGAGGTCACAGTCACATGATCCTAAGGAGGTTACTCACTTCAGCAGTGAATACATATCCAACAGGTTGTTTTGAATGGGGGTGCCAGTGACAGCCCAGCGGGCGTGGGCTCGTAGCTTACACACAGCAACAGATGTCTGAACTCGGGGATTCTTCACATTGTGAGCTTCATCCAATATGACTCGGGCCCAGAATATTTGAAGCAAAGGCGTTGAGGTACCCTGAAAGAAACATTAAGTGCAAACCCACAACAGTACGGGAGCATGCAGATATCCTCAAGCAGATAAGGGGGAATATCAACAAGTACGCAAGACCCATGCTTACCCTCGATTTGCTTCTATCAGTTACATTGAACTGAGAAGAACCTTTCAACTGGTTCAAATAAACAGGGCACTTCAGAGTCTCAGTCCTTGAGTGTAAGAGGCTTAAGAGCAAGATATTTTCTAATTTGAGGTTTTTATTTATTCTTTCAACCCACATTTCAGCAAAGGCTATAGTCCAGGACTTCACTAGATGTTGAGCCTACAAATTCATACACTCAATAAAATATTCACTAAAAAACCTATTGTTAGATGTAAGATACTAAGATGTAAGATAAAGGACAATTCTACCCTTACAGAGTTCAAAATCTAGCAGGTAAGAAAAACAAATATATGTACATGCACTCTACATCACATTAGATAACTCAATATGCAACAGTGGGAACTGAGCTGCTTGCTGCTGCAGCCATGATAAATGAAACAGAATCTGACATACAGTAATCCTCCATATTTGCTGGATTAGTGGAATGCTATGACATAAGTAAGCATGAGGTGCGAGGAGAGGCACTCAAGTAAATGGTGGAGAGGGAGTGGTCCAGACAGGATTCTTGGAACATTTAAAAAAACCTGAGGAAAGGAGTGGTGGCAAAAACTGCATTCAGAGGGAGAATAAAGGCATACCAATGACAGAACACGGCAGTAACTACAGATCCCTTGGTATGACTGAGGATAAGGTACCAAAGGAAGCAAGGAGATGAGGAGAGATGAGGGACATACAGGTAGGTCAAGATCACAGAGTGCCTACTGTATCGTGTAAAGGGATTTGGGATTTATCCTCAAAGTGATGGAAAAGCACTGAGGAATCTGAGATGATTATCTATAGGCAGTCAGGATTGGATATGACTGGAAAAGCATTCCAGAGATCTGTCCAGGGCTGGAGGTATGGTTCAAATGGTAGAGCACCTGCCTAGAAAGTGCAAAGCCCTGAGTTCAAACCCCAGTACTGCCAGAAAAAATAGAGATCTCTCCAAATACAGAAATCTGTGAATATCCTATAAAATCACATAATCTTATTAAAGGTTAGTTATTGGAATAATACTGCATTAACTACCTAACAGATACTCTAGATCTTCCTACAAGCACTCAGGGGTTTTTCAAGGTTATCATTTAGCCTCTGGCCTATCTGTAGCCCTATAATTTGCAATACTCTGAAGGGAGGGTAGAGGAGAGGCAAGGTCTGATGGTTTAATAACAAAACATAGTACTGAAATACTAATCTATACACTAAATATAAAAAAATCCCACAAGAATATACCCCATATAATCTAAGATAAAAATAGCACAAGTGAGACTTGCCTACATTTATGTGATTATTACCACCACAATTACAATGTGAGTTTCTCTAGTTGTGAAAGGCAGGTGAACACTATGGCAAGTATTGACTTTTAATATTGAGGGAGTTGTCCAGGATAAGAGAAATGCAACAGTGGTCAGAACTCTTCACTTTCACAGGTAGAACGTTCACAACACTGTGACCTTGCAGGAAGGTACCTTTGCTATCTGAGGATGTAAAAAGACTCCCATTAAATGATGTGTGGCTCCAACAATACTTCCCTGGCATTCCCAAGCCTCACCTCCACATTGAGGTTTGCTCCTGGGACCTCTCCCTCCTGCCTCGTTGTGGGAATCTCCTTGGCTAGAAGGCTGTAAGTAGTAATAACGATGTCGTATGTAGAAAGGCTGCACAGACAGAACAGAAAGCAAACATTAAACAATTCCTCTATGGACTCTGACAATGAGAGGCAGGGTTGATCTCTATAAATTAATGCCTAAGGCTAGAAGGGCAGATAGCAGAATTGATTAACTTATGTCCTTCATACACAAACCCACAAATACACTCATGCAGTCATTTTGGAGAGGTAAATTTTACTACTTGGGCTTCCCTACCTCTTACCTCTGATCACTTTTACAGTTTGCTCACTATAGCTAGATGGGTCTCCCTCTCACCACCCAGTAAGTCAAAAAAGCAACTCTCTAGCTGGGATCACACATAAATTTGGTAAGACCTGACCAGAACAGAAAGTAGGACTGCATTGGGAACTGACATTTAATAAGGATTTGAGATAGCTGGTCCCAAAATCCCAGAGAAGAAAAAAATCCCCAAACGGCACAGCCTGCCTCACACAAATGATGCCTTCTCTCCATCACTCTACTCTATAATGGATTTGTGAAGACCCATTAATTTAGCTTTGACATTTGGGTAAGCTTTCAGTTTACCTTGCCGACCCTCTTTACACAGATTCTTATTAAAGGCACAAATCATATTACAATGAAGGTTGATATTGTGTACCTGAGAGACATAAATAATACTTTTAATAAAATGATATGCCTAATTCAGACAGGCAGCAAGGTCTACAAGTTGCCTTGTAGCATTATATATAAACAAGTACAGTTGAGAATGATTCCAATCATCAACTGATACATTGCTCAAAGTGCAATCAAGTGAGAGCCAATTTATTTTCAAATAAAAATTCAGAATGAAGGCAGGCAACTTATAGTATTCCCTGCCAGAGACAGCCTCCCTTTGCTGCCCTGATACCTTTTGACTATAAGTCATGAGAACAGTGTGTTGTAAGACTGAGGTCACAAATTTGGCAATTTACTCCTGAAAAGACCACTGCTGTGTTCTTTGAGGGATAAAATATACAAAAACAAAGTTTGGAACGAGAGAGAGAAACTACTTAGAAGTAGAAACAACTTTGTTCTCATCTTTAATTAGATCAGCAAGTATTCACCTCAGAACCTCAAATCACAATTAGAAAACAAAACAAAACAAAAAGGCTAAGGGTGTAGCTCAGTGGTAGAAAGCTTGACTAGCATGCGCAAGACCCTAGGTTTAATCTCCAGCTCCAAAACAAAACATAAACAAAATGGGCCAGGGCCATGTTTAAGCAGTAGAGTATTTATCTTGCAAATGCAAAACCCTAAGTTCAAACCCCAGTTCTACCAAACAAACCAAAAAAGCCTCCAAACCCCAAAAGACACAGACTAGATTAACATCTGGGGTAGTCTTTCCCCATTCCCAAGTAGCACCTTCAGGAATTTCGTTTGGCCTATCCTGCTTCTTTTTTCTTTTTTTTTTAGTGCTGGGGATTAAACTTAGGGCCTTGTAAGTGCTAAACAAGGGTTCTATCCCTGAGCTATTCTGCTAGCTAGGAATCCAGTCTAAAACCTCTTAGTTTATATTTTAAAAATGCAGCCATAAAAATACACACACAAGACACAACACAGTCTACAGCAAGTAAACATTAGAATTCTACCATGAGCTATGTAAGACAGGGATGGTTTCATTTACATTAACAGAAAAAGAATGTAAGTTCTAGAAACAGAACCTCAGTAACCAAGAGCTACAGATACATTTCCTTGTTTGCCAGGGAAGGCTACTGCCACCTGGCTGACAACTTGGGCCTTTCTCATGGCAGCTTTTCTTGGGGACAGTGACAAGGACACAGCAAAATAACACAACTGGATGTCTTAGTAGAGAGCAGAGGCTGTCTGGTGATGAGTGAAACTCTGCCTTTGGTCTTCATGCATACTGTGAGTCCTGATCAGTGAGGAGCAGGGAGCAGGAAAGTCTACAAGGCCCCTTACTGAGGCGCTGTCCTGGCTGCAGCACTTTCACACCTACACTTTCGCATGTCGACTCCGGTTTGGCCCGTGGTAGAGATAGACTCTCAGCTTGCTGCTGTTCACATGTTTCTCTACCTCTTTCTTCCAATGATGGATCAGAGAAGCAGGGCAGACAATTAGTGTTCCATGAGAAGTAAAGTCAGAGGAATCTTGAAGGGGAGAAAAATCAATTACAGTCATTAAACCATCTTTGGCTTCCTTAGGGCATTACTTCTTTCTCTTGCCTGGTTTTACTCCTTTATCAATATTTTTTAATTGCTCTTTTATTTCTACACAGAGCTGAAAGGAGAATGGGAAATAGAAGAGATGGTCTCTTAAACCAAACCACTTACATTTCTTATTTTCTCCAATAAAAATGTAAAACAGCAGGCTGGGCTAAATAAATAAATAGCTAAATAAATAAAAAGTAAGACAGAAAGAGAGGCTAAGGAGGGTGAAAGTGGGTGGTACATAAGCTCAGTCTAAAAAAGCAATTGCCTTTCAGAGTGGCCCAAGGTAGAAGCTGGATCAGATATCTCCTGACACCTACTGAGTTGATTCATTATAAGGCAGTATGATTATTTTTTTCCGAAAAAGCATAACAATGTACTTTCACATTAAAATATGTGCACAAATTATTATGTGTTAATTAAAACATATACATATAAATACAAATAGACTCTTGTAAGATAAGCTAATGTAACCTTGGAACCAAACAGTGATATTAGTACTGCTGCCCCTCACCTGTGTGTGCATGCCTGGGCCACTCCGTACTGCTGCTGCTCCACACAAGAGCCCAGATGCAGCAGTGCCCATCAGAGGCCCTGAGAGCAAAGAGCCACAGACTTCTATCTCTCTAACCAATGCAAAAGAGCTGTGCTTATGTACATGGTCATTTACATATATGTCATGCTAGCTATATGTAATATACTAACTTAGGTATAGTTACTACATTTTAAAAACATAGGTTGAGATAAGATAGAAACTGCCTATCATTCGGAAATTGCTGGAATTTCAGAAACATGAAAAGCATCTTCCACTGTGGAAGCTAAAATGCAAACTTGTAACAGAGCTCCCTTAAAAAAAGAAAAATTAACTTGGATCTACCCTGAGTTTATCCTCAACATCAACTAAAATAATAATTGCTATGCTTAAATCAAAGAGTCTTAGCTTTCCCCATAAATTTTTCTCTAATCACAGATCAAACTAAGTTTATGTCAAAGGGGGAAAAACAGTACTTGGAATGAATGAGCACACTCAGCATCAGAAATGATATGGTTGGAGAGTAACCTAACACTGGTTTTTCCGTAGATGGTTCTCCTGTAGCTTAATAACATCCCCTCCCTGCCAGCTCAAAGATGTGGGAACAGCCTTAGGCACTTTCACCTACCATCTTTGGAAAGCCATGTCACAGCCACGCTCTTGTCCTTTGCTTTGCTTTTCTCCTCGTTCTTCTTGGCCAGGATGAGCGCAATCATCGTCAGGGTTTTTCCTAAACCCATATCATCCGCTGAAAAATAAAAACTTTATTAAAAGAGTAAATTACTTATGGCAATGAGTCAACACAACTTCAAAAGAAGCCACTGGCAGACATTGACCCCAGCTCTCTGCTCCACTGCCACTTTAGTTACTATGCTTTGCACACTCTAAATAACCTTGTTAAAATGAGCTACTTATTTATTTGGAGATTTAAGCTATATATTTACTACTCTTGGTAACTTTTATTGGGATCATACACTAGTCTCCATGTTATCTTTTTAATACTTTTATTTATTTTGCATTACTGGGGTTTGAACTCAACACCTTGCGCTTGCTATGAAGGTGCTATACCACTTGAGCTACTCCACCAACCCCAGCCAACAGTTATTGATTGATATTTATTACAGTTTGATGATATTGCCTAGTCTTTTTAGCTGTTACCTCCAAAAAAAGTCCAGCAGACATATACCACCAGCAACTTTACAAGTGCTACCACATTTCTGGAGCTATAAATTTCAAACAGTTCTTCATGCCCTTACTTTATTTGTTGAAGAAGGCCATAACTCACCACCTCTTGGGGACTACCATTGTGCCAGTCACTAAGCTTATCTAATATACTCTTCATCCTCTAGACATATCATTTCCTCATTTTATCAGAGTATAACACTGAGGCTCAATTGTCTAGCTGCTATAGTCACTCAAAATAATCATCTGACAGAGCAGAAGTAAAATGTTAGAAGATGGGCTATGATTCAAATTCTAGCTTTGGCACAGTCTACTTAGCAGACCTGTCTGCTCACCTCTGAAAGGCCTGCTGACAAGGCTGGCCCTTGTCTGCTGTCTAGGAACTTGGATTTAGGGAGGGTTCTCACCATTTCAGAGCTAGTAAGAATGGCTCACTAGCCTTTGCCCAAACAATATGGTTTATTTGAACACATTCTTTTCTTCTGGGAGTAGGCAATTTTGGTACCTACCAGGCTGAAACTATCTACGTTACCAGCCCCCCATAAAAATCTACTTTGGGCACTGAATTTCTAAGAAGGCTTCGCTAATTGGAAACATTTTACAACTCACTATTGGGAAATTAAGTGTACTCCATATGGCTCCATCAGGAAAGGACTCTGGAAGCTGGTGCCTGTTTCTCCTGCATTTTTACTGTTCCTTTTTGTTGATTTTATCTGTATCCTTTCACTGTTTCATAACTGGGGGTCTGACTATATTCTGTGATTCTTACCAAAAAAATAATTGAAACTGGGTCAGATGCTGACACTGACACTGGATTGGCACTGACTTCCTCTAGTGCTTGGATGTTCAGCCTATGATGTAGCTGTGACTAGTGCTCCTGGAAATTTTGGCCCCCAGCCTGGCACCTCACATCTCCTAGAGATTCTAGAGGCTCCCACAGAATAAACTCCTCTGCTTAATCAGCCAGTCAGTTACTACTGCTTGCAGCAACACCTCCTTTGCTGTGTACTTTTGACCAAGTTGCTTAACATCCCTATATTTTCATTTTCTATAAAATGAGGAATCACCTCATTATATATTATATAAAATATATATTATATAACTCATATCTGCCTCATATGAGTTGTGGAAAGGACTGAATGAAAATACACACTTAGCACAATGCCTAAGTATCCAATAATTGTTGGTTCTTATGATAATACCAAACTTACCCAGAATGCCTCCTTGTGGCTTCTGACTTTCCCGCCATAGTAACCAGGCTAATGCCTGCTTCTGATGCAGTAACAAAGGAACCTGGAAAAGGTAATAACCAGATGTTGACTATAAATTCCTGATGAGAGACTATGCCAGATCCTGGTTTTATGAACTCTATACTCTTATTTTCCACAAGTGATCTCCTCTAATAGTCTACCTACCATCACAGAAGCTGCTCGTTCACCTGCCCACGCAAGTGTAGGTTGTGGTCTATGTTAAGTGTTCAGCACTGCTATCAGGACAGCCCTCTCCACACACACCATGAAAACACTGCTTTTTCTGCTTAATTAGTTTCTACTACTTCCAACCAAGACCTCTAACTGGTCGTCCTACTTTCACTAGCCATTATGTTGGCTTTTCCAAACAATTTCTTAAATTGGACTCTCCTCTCTTTAACCAGCATCCAAGCCTGCAGTACTAGTCATACTTCAAACAGCCCTTTAACTGGAGATCCCTTCTAGTCTTTCTGTACTCCAGTTTACCTTACACTCAGTGACAATTAATCTTCATTAAACACTCCTGCTCAAAATTCTACCAAGATTCCAGAGTGTATCTTGACCTATTCAAATGTAAGTTCCTTCACCAATGCCAGGCTTCCCAGCAAGGAAGTCCCCTACTCAGGAATATCACCTGCCCCTCTCATCTCTGGTACTGGTGACACCGGATCATCACTTACTAATACCAATCTCTATCACCTTCCAACCACCATTCCCTCTAAAGATTTGCAATTTCTTTTTTTGGCAGTACTGGGGTTTAAACCTAGGCCTTCATGCTTGCTAGACAGTTGCTCTACCACTTGATCCACATCTCCAAACATTTGTGCTCTGTATTTTTTGAGACAGGGACAGCCTGGATACAATCCTCCTATTTATGCTTCCCACTATAGCTGGGATGACAGGTGCATGACACCACGCCAAGCTATTGATTGAGATGGAGTCTCACGAACTTTCTACCCCAGCTACCTCAAATGGCTATCCTCCTACCTCCTGAGTAGCTAGGTTTGCAGGCATGAGTGACTGGCACCTGGCTTTTTTTTTTTTAAATGAGAAGAACAAATCTTTGAAGGCTTGTAATTTCTTTAAGGCACAAAATAGACAGGCAACAAGTAACTATTGAGCTAGAGTGACATTTCCCCTTTTGAATTTCTTCTGAACTTTGTATACAGCCCATAGTACACTGCAAGGCACACTTTATCTTGCCTTACAGGTACATCTTAATTGTTTTACATATATCACATATACACTTTTACCCCAGCCAGTTTATTACAAATAGCAATTCTTTTGTAACCTGTAGCACCTACCAAAACTCAATAAATAAATCCTATAGAAACTTATAACTGATTTTTTACAAAAGAGGGTCTAGATGTTGTTTTTAATTTTCTGTTACTCAACATAAAGGAGGGAAATAGTGCAAGTGAAGCCACTAGAGCTTCGACCTGCAGCTCTACATAGGAACAGCACTCTGCTGAGCAGGTGCACAGTGATCCCTCTCTTCAGGAGCACTACATACTGTTATGGGATATTCTGTACCACAGTCTTTTCCTGGCTCACCTTCAAGCCAGCTGGGTCTTCTGCCACTGCTGTCTCACCAGGACGTGACTCTAGTGATCGATGCAGCTCATCAATGGCTTCACTTGTGATTTTCCACACTGCATGAAGGCGATCTTGGTTTGTAGGGCCTGCATACAAATAGGTATTACCCAAAGACATCACAGGTATTGTGTCCTGGCTAGAGCTGCAGAAATGCAATCAGTTATTTGCCAGGTTATAGAACTACATTTACTAAAGTCTTGTCTCCAGATTGAATTGGCTTCACAAGCCAATCACAACACTTAGAGATTCTGGGGGCCACCACAGAATAAACTGATCAGCCAAGGTTGGCTGCTACTGCAGCTTATAGCAACACCTGAGTACTTTCGAGCAAGTTGCTTAACATTTCTGTACTTTTGTTTTCTCATCTGTAAAATAGGGAGTCATAGTACCTGCTTCATAGAGTTGTGGAATCACATAAACAGTAATTGTAATATAAAACAAAAGAATAAAAGTATGACTAAAAAAAAATAAGATAACCTATATTTTTTTTCCTCCAGTGCTGGGGATTGAACAGAAGGCCTTGAACACATTAGGCAAGCACTCTACCATTGAGTTTTCCCACAAGCCCAACCCATCATATTTTTATAACTTATTTTTCAGTCTTGAAAAGGTAGCAGAGAAACAGTTAAGACCATCCGATGTTTTAAGAAGAAAGATCCCCAGATACAAAGAAGAAAAGCTAGTGAGAGAAAAGGCCAGGATACCAGTTGTCTTGTGCAGGTCATGAGCTGACAGTGTAGCTTACTGCAGTGCTGTTACCCTACATATTTTACGCAGAGAACTGTTACAGAGGTTAGTTAAAACTACAGGCACTTCAGCTATTTGCAATTTTAGGGATGAAGCATTCCAAGTTAGAGACTTCTAGACAAATGGAAACTACTTAAGTGTTAAAAATGTTTTAAAACTATCTTAATGGCATCTGGCAGAGTGGCTTAAGTGGTAGAGCACCTGCCTAGCAAATGTGAGGCCCTGGGTTCAAACTCCACTAGCACGTGCGCGCGCACACACACACACACACACACACACACACACACACAAAACTATCTTAATGGCATTCTTTCCAAGACATATCACATATATTTTTACCTTAATAACCAACCATAATTGAATTTTTCTCTAGGTGACTTGGTCAACGTTATGTTATGGAATGATGGTGTAACACAGCAATGTTCTCAAGGCCCCCTGAGAAGCCAAGATGGCCATGATACTTGAACATTTTTGTTTCTCTTTCCCCTTTTAGTGTGATCTTTGCTTCAAATGGCACCACATGGACTGGCAGAGTGGCTCAAATGGTAGAGTGCCTGCCTAGGCAAGCATGAATTACCAAATTCAAACCCTAGAACTGCCTACAAAAAAAGAGAAACCAACCAAACAAACAAACAGAAAATCCAAATAGCTCACATCTATTTCTCACCCCTTTACCAACACTGTTCTTCAATTTTTTTATGTCTCTAGCAGTTCTCAACTGGGAAAAAAACTGGTTTTAGCTTTTCTAGTCCCTGTCAATCAACCTGAGTGCCTGGCACTCATCTGACTGGCAAAACAACTCATCAGATGACCTAGTTAAGTCTCTCCCTGGCATCTTCATTTTTACAATTACCACTAAATTCTTTCCAAGTCATCTAGAATGTTTGTGATGGAAACACTTAGCTGCACAGGGGATTACTGCTCTCTGGGTCCATAAGTCACTGGTCTTCACATATGTCACTCCTCTGCTCTACCTCATCACACCCCTTTACTTCCCCTGACCCCACAGAGGAAAGAAGAACGTAGCTGCTGTTCTCCTGTCTCCTAAGGATGTGAGCTAGACCCTTCCTTCATAAGCACTGACTGGGTGACTTCTTATGTGCCAGCCACTGGGTTGAATGAACAGCACACAACAGTACAGGCAGACACAGTCCCAGCCTCACAGAGACCTGAGTAACAGAGTCTGAAGCTCTATTGATCATCACCATCTTTAATATATGGACAAATATATAAAAACTTTCCACTCGAGATTGGCTTCTTCCTCCTCATGAGCACAAAGACTACAGCTAAGCAGCATTTCATGCAGGTGCAGCTCTTCCCAGCAGGGCCAGGACTTTGGGTCTTACCTCCAGCAGTTATCTGGCAGGCTGCCTTTAGTCCTAGAGAGCCCAAAGGCTGGACATCATGACCCGGAAGGGGTTGGGGAGGCACCAACAAGGGAGGGTCACTGGTAGTTTTTGTGAAGTTATTCTGCTGTCGTTCTTCAGTGTTGTTATTCTCATTAGTTTCTGCTTAAAAAACAAGGGAGGAACAGATTCAAGTTCAGAAAAGAAAGTGAAGGGAGCATGTATGGAGGTAGAGGTGAGGTGAGGGGGTGGAGGGGAGGTCACTGACATTCAATAACCTGGAAATTGCCACCTAGGGAATGGCATATGTTAACAGTGCTTAAACAATAGCTAAGAGAGTTTAGTCCACAGGAAACAGGAGAAAGCTTTTATAAATCTCAGGGATAATTTAATCTGCTCAGGAGCAGATGATAAAATGGAAAGGTGAATTAATCAATGCATTCTTTATCAAAATGTCTCGTCAGGCTCACGAAAGTGCTGTGTTCTGGGCATTACCCATTTTACCTTGGTCTGGGGAGAGGGCAAGAGCACCGAGTGCTTCCTCCAACTCCTGGATTTGCCTGATCAACTTCTCACCCTTGTCTGGAAGAGCCTGGATGTTCACCGATGCCAGTGTGCTCTGAAAAACAGATCAAGTGAACTTTTCCTGTCAATGTGTTAAAACTGCCCTAAAATGACAAAATTCTGAAACTATGGTCTTTTAATTATGTGTGTAAAAAAGCAGGACTTTCTGTAAAGCTTTTTTTTTTAAACCCAGCTGGCTTACTAATCCTGAAAATATAAACATAGGAAAAGGCAGAAACTAAGCATCCACCTAGGAAACTTACCAGTGATCACACTAAATTCTTCTGTACAGGCCTCCTGGCTGCCCCAAGCAAGCAGTGCTGCAGTTTAAAAACAAGCCCAGTCAAGTTACCTTCTTCTTTTTCAGCTGTGTTGTGAGGTGCACCCGCTGGGCTGCTAGCTCAGAGGGCTCTATCTTCTTGGGAACGCCTGAGGTGGCAGACACTCGTCTTTTCACACTTTGATCAGGAAATTGAAGGTTCTCCTCCTTCTGTGAGTCCTCGGTCAAGTCAAAGAGAAGGGGGCTTCCTGGCTCAGAGGAAGTTCTATCCTCCTCCTCCTCACTCTCACTACTGCTGGTAGAAGCTCGGTGCCCCAATCCCAGAGGTCGCCCCTCTCCCAGGAAATGCCCTGATGGCACAGGACCCGTAGGAGCTGGCCAATGGGTCTCTGGAGGTGCCTGGAAATGCCCCTGAGGCAGCCTTTCCTGGAAGGTCTGTGTGCTCGGGACTCTCTCGGCCTTTGCTTCTTTAGCCTTCCAGTTCTTGATGTGCTCCTTGCCGAGGTGTCCTGCTTTCTGGGACTGGCTTACTGGGTCCTGACCATGAATATTCTGAGGCAAAAGCTGGGTCACCTTTTCTCTGAGAGGTTTTGATCTGTTTTGTATATCCTGACTCGGACCATCTGACTTCTGAGGCGTGGATGTTCCTCTTGGTTCATTCCCATGGCGCTGTTTGGATGCAACTCCTCCAGTCTCTTTTGCATCACCCTGAAACTGTGTGCTCTCCTCCTGCTTCTTCTCAACTCCAGATTGTCCCTTCTTTGTCACCAGGCCAGATGAGAGATCTTTCTCTACCCAGCAGTTAGACTCAGACTTCTGTTCTCTCTTTTCAACCAAGAGCTGGTTTCCCTCTTCCCTTGACTCCTTATCAGCTATCTTTTCCTCGCCTTCCTCTTTGACAAACTGTTTCCATTGAGCTGGTTTTTGATTCTTATTCAGCACCTTGAATGGATTTCTAGGCTGACTAGAAGGACAAGGAACTGGCTTGGATGCATGTTGAGAATTATGGGTAACAGGATGTTCTTTAGAATTGGGATCCTAAGGATAATGAAAATAATTGTCACACAAAATAATCAACCTACATATCTAGAATTTTTTTTTTTAAAAAAACAGGAAATGGAAACAGTAAAAGCAATTCCAGAGTTTCTAAACATCCCTGGTATCATTTCTGTATCTAAAGATGAACAGCTTCTTAACTTTCTTAACTTTCAATGCTCAGCTCCTTCTCACTCCATGACTATACTTTTCCAGGTCTGGAGAAAAAGTGAAGACCAAAGCAGAGCACTTTTATGGTCATAGAAGCCACAATGGATACTTCTCAAGAAGAACTATTCTCTCAAGACAATTCTGCCCAAACCTAACGCCTCTGGCTACTCTTGTAGGAAGGGTTCAATGGAGGATGGAGAATCGTAAGTTCAAGTCCACCAAAGCAAAAGGCAAGGGCCCTCCCGGGGCCCATTCCCCATGACTGGATACTCTAGGAGCTCATGCATTATACTCAGCGTATACCTGTATCAAGTAGATACAGGTCTATAAAAACATAGGAAGTTGGGCAAGAAAATCTAATTTTTTTCCCTAAATAGTAGGATACTGACTGTATTTAAGACCCTGAAAAGTATTTAAGTAAGTGAAATAGCAGGCAAATCATTTTTTTTTTTTTTGGTGTGTTGGAGATTGAATCTACAGCCTCTATAGCCTCATGTATGCTAGGCAAAGGCTCTATCACTGAATTACAAATAATTAAATTTCAACTATAACAAATGGTCCTTTGCATTAACAGGGTCTGTCTTGCATAAAGAAAACTACTTCAGAGACAGTTTGATAACCAAACAGTTTATATGAATGTCAAGGTCTTTTTAGTAGAAGCCACATTTTTAGGCACTACTGGGGTTTGAATTTAGGATCATGTGCTTGCCTTACCAAGCACATGATTTTTGTGCTTTAGTAATTTTTTAGTAATTTAGTAATTACCAAAGCCCTTTTTGCTTTAGTAATTTTTTTCACATAGGGCCTCATGTTTTTGCCCCAACCAGCTTGAAACTATGTCTCTCCCATAGCTAGGATTACAGCCATGAAGCACTACACCCAGCTTATTTGTTGAGATGAAACCTTGCTAACCTCTTGCTGGGCTGACCTAGAACCACCACCCTCCCAATCTCCATCTCCTGAGTAGCTGGGATTACAGGCATGAGTGCCACACCTGGCCTTAAACAATCTTAATATAACAGATTTAAAAACAGATGAATAATTCCTACCTGCCATGGAACATTTCCACACCAGCGTTTCCCCTCTGCCTTACTTTTAGCACATCGGAAGAACAATCTAATAAAGTATAAAATACAAATAATCAAGGCTATTAAAATCCATGAAAACAAGAAATGAGTTTATTTTTAATCCAAGAAAATACCTTGTAACTACTTGACCCTGTCTTTGAGAGGTCATTTGAAATCAATTACTCTTAAATATACATAAAAAATTCTTACTACACAGGACACCTTTAAGGGCTAGGAAGGCGAGAATAAAGATGACATGGTAACCACAGTGTACAAAGGTTTATTTGTTTACTTGTAAAGAACAAATGAAATGAAGACACTGATCATCAATGGTTGGCTGCTAAAATCAGAAAAAGAAAGATAAGCAGACCTGTGCGAGGCTGAAGGGAAACCAAGGGAGCTGGCAAAAAAAACCCACAAACTAAAAACTAACCTCAATCAGGCCTCTACATCCAATCCCAGAGGAACATGCAGAACTGGACCAGGGGGAGGACAGCTTGTGTGCTCACCTCCGGAACCACCCTCAGAAAAACCTGATCCTTCAGCAATCACATTACAATGCATCTCTTTATTCCCAGTGTGCCCTGACTTATACAAGATGACTCAGTACTGCTGAATAAAGTAAAACCAACAGGTTTTTTTTCACTACCTAAAATGAATCCTACAAACTTTTAATCAGGTAAACAATAACTTTTAAAATACACATTTGTTTAAATGAGTAATGTAGTCAATAAAAAAGTATAAAAAAGCGAGCTAGTGGAGTAGCTCAACTGGTACAGTGCCTGCCTTGTGAGCACAAGGCCATGAATTCAAACCCCAGTACCACCAAAAAAAAGTACAAAGTGCTCAAATTCCAAAACTTCTGAAGTACCAATAGGATGCCACAACAGAATTTTCCACAACTGGAAAATTCCATACCATAAAACTTTGTTTCATCCACAAGATTATTAAAATATTGTATAAAATTACCTTCAGGCTATGTGCATAAGGTTTATATGAAGCAAATTAGTTTCATGTTTATTTAGACTTATGTTCTACCCCCAAGATGGTTCATTGTGTACATGCAAATATTGGAAGAGCTGAAGGAATTCAAAACCCCAAAAACTTGTAGTCCCAAGAAGATAAGGAATTCAGATAAGGAAGGCTCAACCTCTACTAAATACTTTGTCTCCTGTGCCCTCCCCCTTTCCTCCCTCCCCCAGCCTTTTGTTTTTAAGCTCAACAATATGCCAATATGCCTTGGAGGTTTTTCTGTAAGAATTCTTTCTCTCTCTCACTCTCTCTCTCTACAGGTATAGGTTTTAGGAAATCGTTACTGAAAGAGCCCACTAATGGTGTCTATTCCAAAGCAGATGTGGGGAAAGAAGGGAGAAAACAACACTCTTTGAGTATCTACTATGTGCACCTAGTGATAGGTACAGCACTAAAATGCTTTACTTGCATTTTTAATTAAGTAATCCAGCAAAGTAAAATTGATTTAATTAATTTGGATTAATTACTCTGGATGGGTTTATTTCCAGAATAAAAAGTTCCTATTATGTTTATAAAATTCTAAATCCACAAAGAAAGCAGTAGAAATAAATTCTCTCGGAGAAAGCAAATACTGTTTCTATCTGAGGAAGAGCACAATTTCTTCAGCGTATTAATTATTTTTCAGGAAACAGGTCATTATAAATAATGACAAAACCAGCTAGATGAAACAGACTTCTTCAATTCTACTTTTTTTTTTGGTGGTGGTACTGGGGTTTGAACTCGGGGCTTCATGTTTGTTGGCAGGTACTCTCTGGCTGTTTTGAAGGTGGGCTCTCGCTTTTTGCCCAGGCTGGCGTGTACTATGACCCTCCTATTTTATATTTCCCGCCTTTGCTGGAATGATAGACGCATGTCACCAAGCCCAGCTTTTTCGAGCCCACCTCTTTACCAGAAGACAAATCCTCCCTTCTTATTTAAGAGGAACTCTTCAACTCAGCATCGCAACAGCAAGCTCATTTTCTTCACTAAGGCTAGGATTCTCAGGCTCTGGAACTTTCCTCCTGTGGTTTGAATTCCAGCCCTGCCACATAATTAATTAGCTCTCAACTGTCAGGTGCCCTACTTTTCTTTTTCATTGCGGCACTAGGCAGCTACTCTACTGCTGAACCACATCCACTGCTGAACCCACAGACACGTTACTTGCCTGCCTTCAGCAGTGTCCTCTGCAAAGTGGTGAAATTCTAACAGTGCATTTGTCCATGGTCAGCACGAAGATCAGATGCATTAACACATGAAAAGTGAGTCATGAGCTCACTCTTGCCACCACCTTGTGCAGTCCTACATCCACACTTCTGCTGATGCTGTTCTGCCTGGGATACTTCTTTGTCCTTTCCTCTATTAAAATTTTAAGGGTTATTCAAGGCCAAGATCAAGACTCAACTCCTGCACTTCTTCAGTAATCTTAATCCTTTATGGGACTTAGAGTCACAGAACTGTCTGGGACCTGAACACATTCAATTTTGCACTCTAACATACAGATCAGAATGCTCCCATGTCTTGCCATGTCCAATTCTTATCCCAACTGTGCCCAAGTGCCCCCAGGGGCTCGAGTCCACATCACTGTTATATGTGCCAACAGCAGGAAAACAGACAACTGATTCCTATTTCATTTTTTTACACTAAAATTTGAGATGGAACAAAAATGTAAAAAAAACTTCAAGTGTTCTAGGAAAAAGAAAAAACCAGATGTTCTGTAATCCTTAGTGAAAAAAGCTTTTCTATGCATGACATAAGCTTTTAAAGCTGAGAGATAAAGAATTTAGTAATTGTACTTGCATAAAAGTTTTAAACTTTCATACAATAAAACTAGTGCAAGGAGCTAATCCTAACTACTCAGGAGGCAGAGATCAGGAGGATCACACTTGAGGGCAGCCAGGCAAGTAATTTTCAAGACCCTATCTTGAAAATATCCAACACAAAAAAGGGTTAGTGGAGTGGCTCGAATGGTAGAGCACCTGCCTAACAAGGATGAGGCTCTAGGTTCAAACCCCAGTACTATGCACACACAAACAAAAATGCTATAAGGAAAATTGTAAGACAAAATGCAACTGGGAAGAAGTAGCTACACACATGTTACAAAGGGCTAACATCCTCCATGTGCAACAGTGCATGATACTCTACCCCACCTGGTTTTACTTCTTCAAGGTTGGTGAGGCTGGAGGGCCTTTGCATGGGTCCACCTCCTGCCCATATACTTCCGTATCATCAGCCCACATATTATATTAGGGCTAAATAATCTACATGGAGGTCAATTTCACTCAACAACCATCAACATAAGGAGTTTCTTAGACTACGATGATTAAAACTTAAAATATTTTTAATATCCTACCCACAACCAGTTATTGAAAACACTAAAATGTATCCTACTCACTTATAAGTAAAGGAGTATTTTGACCCCTATATCTTTGAAAATAATAGGGAGGGGAGGGAAGAGGAGGGAAAGAGAGAAGGGGAACATGATCTCAGGAGTCTGATGACAATGTTCAACATGTGCCACATCATGCCAAGGCAAGATTTCTTCCCCTTGGCCCTCATGAGAGACCACCACAGTTTTCTTTATTGCCTGCACACTCAAGGCATGTCTGAAGGGCTGTTGAAACACTGGTGAGCGGTACCATCTGGTGTTTAATTGGAGAACTGCACACAAGTGCAGCTATCCCCTAAGGTGTGGAAAACCAGGCATCTCAGCCTGGGTTTTCACCTTCCCTCCTTTACTCTGCTGCACCTGTCTATAGAGAGGCTAAGCCAAACATAATGGTATTAGTCAGAAGGTGCAAAATACTTAAAGTTGAAAAGAAAATCAGTCTGCAGAAGGAAATGCTGTACTCCCAAGGCCATTCTCCAGAGTACAGAAGTTCCAGCTAAATGCTGTCTTCTGAGGAAGCCATCACCTTCATCATTATCTATTTCTGCTAGAAGTCTCAGCCTATACTACCTACCTGTTGGGGGATATTATATTTGTGTGTGTGTGTGTGTGTGTGTGTGTGTGTGTGTGTGTGTTTTGATTTTTTGTGCATTGAGAACATATTTTATTTGACCCAAAATAGTCTTTCTCAAGCTCTAAAAGAAACACATTTAGCTTTTTTTTTTTTTTTCTATTTCAGCAAAATTTTACCTCTTAGCCTTACTTACCCAGTACAAAGTTCCCAAGACTGTCTTTAGCCTGGCCCTCTCTTCATAGCTGCACATTCACTTTCATACATACTTAAGACACCATTAGTCTACAGCTGTATGTGTTAGTGACACACCTGAAGCCTCTACTGCTGCTACCTTTCCTTCCTTACCTTGCTTCATATTAACTCATCATCCAGAAACCCCATCCTAGCACTAATTTACTCAGCAAACACCAACTGAGTGCACCACACAGGTTCTTCTCTGAATCCTCATGACCCAGGAAAATGTAGAGGAAGGAATGTACTGAAATGCCCTGCCAGGAAATACACCTTATCATTCTAATTCTCTTTAACCACAGTTTCTACCTGCACTCAACTCCACTGCTACCACCTCAGTTCAGGCCCATGTCTTTCATTTAGAGAAACGGAGTGTGTTAGGAAGAAATTATATCTAGGCTTCAGTCCTAGTAATACTACTTCACAATGGTACCCCACTAATGGTACTTTCTAACCTCACTATGGTACTTTCCTCACCTGTCTGTAAAATACAGCTACTGAAATGGATGACAACAAATGGATATGTAAGATAAAAAATTAAAATATGCCCCATACTAGGCATTCAATAGTAGCGACTATTTCACTGTCTTTTTGCCTGAATTATCTTCCCTTTTTAATATTCAGTTTTCTTTTGATGCAAATGGGAATCCTTCAGTTGCCTTATACCACCTACAACCATGTAGTTCTATAAGGCAGAGGTCCCCAGTAGGATGCCAATGGTCTTAAGTGTCAGGAGGACATCCAGATTTCATGTAATAAAGGTTTACCAGCGCCACTGTGGCAGGAGAAAACAATCTAAAAATATGTATTTTTAAAATTCCATTTATAACAGTATCAAAAAAAATCACTGAAGAATACATTTAACAAAAGGGGTAAAAGAAATTAAAACTATTAAATAATGCTGAGAAAAAAAATGTAAGGTTATACATAAATATACCACGTTCATGGATTGGAAAACTCAATGATGATGTCTATTCTCCCAACACTGATCTGTATCAGTTCATGCAATCTCAACCTGATTTTCTATAAAAATTTAAGAAGCTGATTCTATATTTTATATGGAAACATAAAGATCTTAGAATAGTCAACATAATCTTGAAAAAGAATAAAGTTGGAAGACTCACATTATTTTATCTGATTAATCATGTAAGAATACGTAAAGAGACCAATGGAACAAATTAACAACTACAGAAATATAGGGTCAAGATACCAAGCATTTCAATGAGGCAAGGAAAATCTTCAAAATATAGTGCTAAAATAATTGTACAACAAATGAAAAATAAATGAATTTTGCCCTATCTTATACAATACTCAAAATTAATTTAAAGTAAATTATAGACCTAAGTGAAAAACTATTTGAAAAAAAAAAATAGGCCAGGCTTGGTGGAACACACTTGTAATCCCAATTATGCAGGAGGCATAGGTAGGAGGATAATAGTCAAGAGGCTGGGGCCATGGGCAAAAAGTGTAAGACCCTACCTGAAAAATAGCTAAAACAAAAGGGCTGGGGGTGTGGCTCAAGTAGTGGAGCGCCTGCCTAGCAAGTGCAAGGCCCTAAGTACAAATCCCAGTATTATCAAAAAAAATAAATAAATAAAATTTAAATTTTGAGTTTTTATAAGCCAAAAATCAAAATCTCTAAAGCTTCTAGAGGTCTATTTGTGACATCTGTGATTGCGGTCTTAGAGGAGGCAAAGATTTCTCAGAAAGATGATAAAAAGTACAAACCATTAAAAAAAAAAAAAAAAAGATAGGAACCCTGTGCAGATGCTCAGTATTGTGGCTGTGGTGGAGGATATGTGAAACAACTCATGTATTAAACTGTGTAAAACTAAACAGTCCACACAAATCAGTACAAGTAAAACCTTATTTTTACCAATAAGATCAGAAGACCAGATCAATGTCAATATGTTGGTTGTTTAGTGGTAGAGTACCTGCCTAGCAAGTATGAGGCCCTAAGGTCAAATCCCAGCACTGCCAAAAAAATTTATATAAAAAGATTTTAAAAGGTACTTCACTAAAGACTTTCTGAGGGCAATAAGCATGGAAAACAAATGGTGGTATTTATAAATGGAATTAAACTTAGCAACAAAAAGATGAATTGCTGACAATACAAACAAACCTCACACATATCAAGTAAAATAAGTCACCACGGGATTCCTTGTTACCCTTCCTTATATATGCAATATATCCATATGCAAAAATACATGCAGTACGGTTTAATTTATATGAAGCTCAAATCAAGCAAACCAGATCTAAAGTCATAAAAACCAACACTGACTGCGGATGAGGGGTGAGCAGAATTAACGGGAATGAAGAAAACAGCACTTACTGGGGATACTTTGTCTTGGATCTTAGTTATGTGGGTAAGTATGCATGTGCCTCAAAACTCAACAAGTTGAATTCCAGATCTCTGCACATTACTACACATATAACCCAACTAGGAGAAACTGGTCTGGGCAGTACTTGTGTGTGAAAATTGTGAAGCTGGTACTTCAGATGCCTGTATTGGGGTGGCAGACAGAGATCTAGAATATACAAATTCTGACACACACAGAATATTACACAAAGACCATCATACCCTGGCCTCTGCCTTCCTGGACAACCTTATCTCCTGAAGTCTCTACTTAAACATCTGTTAAACTATGGCTGAGGTGGAGCTCAGTAGTGGAGTCTGTGCTTAGCATTCACAAGGTCTGGGATTTGATACTTAGGAGCACAATAAACAAACAAACAGCTGCTAACCTACTACCAAACCAAATGTTTGCAGGTCTCTGACCATGTCATGATACTTTATGCCTTGGTACCCTCATGCAATTAAATATGTACGAGGTCACCTATTAAATGGGACCCCTAACACTTAGTAAATTTCCACTTACCTTTTAATACTCATGACAAATATTATTGTCCATCTATACAGGCTTCCCTGGCATTCCCAAGCTCCCACAGGGAGGGAAATTGCAACTTATTGAGCATTTAACACACTAGGCCTTTTTACATATTACCACATTCAATTACCAGAATTAAAAGTTGACAAGTTAGTGGCTATTGGTGGGCTGATATTAGCTACCTGATAGCTAGAGAGGAATGATGTTTATCCAGAAATTAACAAGTTAGGGTCTCAGATTAACTAGTTACTTAGCAATTAGAGCATAAAAGCCAGATGACAATACATATAGAAATACTGTTTGCTTTTTAATGACTTTAAATATACCTAGCTACAACTCTTTCAGTAATTAAAAAAAATAAAAGGAAATACATCTAGATGATTCTTTGGACACTTACCTGTATTCTTTCTTGCCCTGTGGTAGAAACAAACCCTGAAGCTCTACCACAAAGTCCTCATGAAATAAACAATAAGAAACAGGAATGCTAGAGAAAAAAAATTGAAAACATTTCATTTTAGGAAGCAAGGAATAGAGATCAACATCCCAAAATCAAATCCAAACTATGGATTTTAAACCAAGAATCTATGCATGGCTTCTCCCAGGTTTGGATATTCCACACATTGTACTTTCCTATGAAGAAAGGGTCCATAGCTTCCATCTTTTCCACTGTTATAAATAAAGTGTGACAATATCCTTTTCGTCCTGACTCAAAAGTTTAAAAGTACCCTACGTTATACACCCTCTACACTGTGATACTGCCAGGAATGAAACTGGCTGTGAGACTCTAGGAGAATTTTTCTTAAGTTCTTTCACTATCCTTTCATACCCTGTTAGCCGTCACTTAGGCTAACAAGATGCTACTAGTTTGCTTCTTGCTTAGTGTAAATTTTTACACTACTGCCTCCCAACTTACTATGAAAAGAAAGCATGTGTAACATTGATTGTAAAGTTTTGGGTGACTGTCTAAAGCACTGTCCTATTACTTGTATAACCTTCTTTGGCCACTATTCTGGTCATAAGACATTTCAGATATGAAAAGCTTATCAAATCGTCCTTGACTGAAGCATTATATATGAGTTTTTATAGCAGTACGTTTGTATAAATGGCCTTTTTCTCAAGGGCTGAGGATACATTTCAGTGGCCGAGCACTGCCCAGCATGTACAGCCCTGGGATGTTCTTTTAAGGTAAAACCCAGTCTTATGTTACCACAGATGCTTAATTCCTTTAAACATGAACACGCTTGTGTGTCACAAAATTTGAAATGGATAATGAATCGAAGAGGCTCAATATAGGTGGAAACCAGAAATAAACAGTAAACCCTGGTGGACAGCTTGCGTGTTTTTCATTGGTTCCTTCTATCTTAACATTTTGTCTCTGCTTTACTCAAATCATTTTGTATTCAACTGAATCCAAGCAATTTCTTACAAATAAAAAAAAACTTATCAAAGAGCTAGGAAAATAATTCCTGTAAAAATTTCTTTTCAAGCTGGGCATTGGTGGCTCACAACTGTAATCTAGCTACTCAGGAGGCAGCGATCAGGAGGATCCTGGTTCAAAGCCAGCCCGGGGAAACAGTTTGCAAGACCCTATCTCGAAAAAAACCATCACAAAAAAGGGCTGGTGGAGTGGCTCAAGGTGTAGCGTTCGAACCCCAGTATGGCAAAAAAATAAAAATTCTTTTCAAAATCTAAATTAAAAAAATGCAATCTAAATTCCAGTTAGATTCAATGCAAAACAAAGATACAAATCATACAACTCACGTTAGGAAAATATGAGAAATGAATAGACACGTAGAAAGGAGACTTTGTTTTCTAGTACTACCATGCATCATACACTTATATGAAGAAAATAACTGCTCCAGCAAGGTCAGCTGAAGAGGCAGCAGTAAGAACTGTTTTAAAGATGCAATGGTTTTTAAAAACAATGTAGACACTTGGTATCATAAAACATTAGCACTGAGAACAGTATTAACTTTTCTCACTTTACTGAAGATGACTAACCTTTCTGGTTTTCAGTCGTCAATCGTGTAAAACCTGAGTACTCAATCAGAACTCTAATCCTTTAAAAACAAACATGCTTCGTCGTACTGTCAGCCTCACCACTGCGCAGCAGAGGAAAAAGGCTAATAAATCATCTAAGCACCAGTGTTTTAGCCTCAAACATTTGAAAACTAATCCGGCCTAAAACTAATGCAAAACAGGGGCGCATTCTACCGCTTGTCCTCACTTTAAATGCAACGTGGACAGTGGTCCAGCACAAGCGGCAGGACAACTAGAAACCTAGAGTTGAAGAGACTGCCGGGGTCCAAGTGTCCTGGGGACCCGCGACCCCGAGAGGAAAGGTCACAACCTGTCACACGGCTGGACCGGCGCGGGGTCTTCCCAGCCCGCTGACGGGGATTGCCAGCCGCTTAAAGGGTCGGGATACCGGGGGACAGCAGGGACTCGGGGTCCTCTAGGGGTCCTGGGAGTCCGGGGAACCGCGCCCCGCTCCACCTACTCGGCCGCCCGCACGAAGCCGCACGTGTCCGTCCGGCATACGTAGAAGCTCTTCCCTTTATTCGGGCCATCGCGGACGCCGGTCTTCAAAAAGCAGATGGTCCCTGAGAAGACAAAAGTCAGTAACGATTACGCCACGCTTGTGCGACAGGCTCTGTGGCCCTTATAAAGGAATCCTGCGACTTCGGGGGTCTTACCGTGCTCCGAACACCTAACTACTTCCATTACCGTCCTGCTCCCTGAGCCCCAACTACTGCTTCCGCCTTTTGCCCCGCCCTCTCCATTAGGAGACCCAATCATCATTCATCTCGTGAAACCTCAACCCACCCCCCTTCTCCACCCGTGACCTTACTCGTCCCACCCTCAGCTATTATCAGCCAATCACATTGGACGTTTACTCATGTTCAACCAATCAGAGCTGCCCTCAGCCTTGGAGCGCGTCTAAATCAAATATCGAACAAGGGGGCGTGGAGGACCTGGCACTTGCCGCCTGAGACGAGGTTAGGGTTGGAGGGCAAGCTTAGCAGCCCGCTAAGTATCTTGGGGAAGGGATACTTGCAGGTCCTGGAAGAGGGACTGGCTGGCGAGACTGAGGCTGAAGCGACTTTAGTTTAACAATTAAAAACAAGATAGCGCGAGAGCTCACGCCCGCAATTCTAGCAACTCGGGAGGCGGAGATCGGGAGGATCTTGCTTCCAGGCCAGCACGGCAAAAAGATCCCAAGACCCCAGCTACGCGGGAAGCATAAATAGGAGGATCGCGGTCCGTGAGAACCTATTGGAAAAATACTAAAACCAAAAGGACTGAGGGTGTGGTTCAAGAGGTAGAGCCCTCGCCTGGGAAACGCAAGGCCCTGAGTTCAAACCCCGTTGACACCTCCCCTCCCCACCCAAAAGAAAACCAACCAACGGGCGGTCTTAGAGGGGACACACGTTAGAAGCTGGTGAAGGCCTGGGGCTTCCTAGCTCCCTAGTGGGGACCCTGGTCTTGTGCTTCCATCACTACCCTGGGCGATGGGCAGCCTGGAAAGCATTTGAGGTGACAGAATGGTAGGAGGGAGGTGATGGGGGCAGTGATGAGTTGTAAAGTCTGTAATAGAGCAGGCACAGAGATTTCTCTAAAACCCACAAGCTTATCCATTCAGGAATCTGGTGAGGTGAGCAATATCATCTTTTTTTTTTTTTTGGTGGTGGTGGTGGTGGTGGTCCTGAGATTTGAACTCGGGGCCTTGCACTTGCTAGGCAGGCGCTATACCACTCGAGCCACGCCCCCCAGTCCTTTTTGCTTTAACTATTTTTCGGCTAGGGTCTAGAGTTTTTTTTCCCCACCAGTTTAGCTGAGATGAGAGATGTAAGCCACCACACCCAGCCAGCCCAACATCACTTTAGGGATAGAAAATTTCCTCCCCTCAAGCTCACCCAAAAGGGAGACTGATGGAGGGGGTGCATTTAACTATGATGTATTGTGAGAACTTTTGTAAATGTCACACTGTACCCCTAGTACAACAATAATATGATAATAAAAAAGAAGCCATGAAAAGACTTCCATCAAAAAAAAAAAAAAGCTCATTGAAGGTCAAAAAGTCAGTTAGTGGGTGATTTATGGACAGCTGCACAGGTCTCAGTCCCAGTTCCAGGTTCTGCCCTGTGGACCATGCAACTGGCTCTGGTTGGCACTGGATGGTCTCTGGCGCTCCTTCTTCAGAGACCACCCTGAGATATGCGTGTCAAAGTGGCAGTAACAGCCTCCTTAATGAAAGCTAATTTGTATTCTCAAACTTTTTAAATTCAAAGATCAAGAATGAAGTTAAATAAAAGAAAATTGTAATCAGTTCTATTCATGAAGAAAAAGAGAGGAATGGCTTTCAGGTTTGTTGCAATCGAGACGACTTCATACGACAACAATCCAGGACCATATGTTGCAGACATATGGAGTAGAACATGCAACTGTTCTGGAGACAGGAGGACAGAAAAGCTGTAATGTCTAGGAAATCTGGGTTATATGATAAGTGTGAATGTTATGGGGGAGGGGAGACAAACCTGAGGTATCATTTATTGATTAAACAATACTTATTAAATAGATTCTTCTGTGCCAGTGTGGAGTCGAAGCTTAAGAAGGACAAAATTCATTTGTTGACACACACAAAGATTAAAACAACTATTCTAACCACAAGGAATTTGCTGAATAGAGGAGACTGAACTAGCATGTACTGCATATAACTTAAATAACAAATATAAAATCATACTTCAATGTCAAGGTGAATGTTAGAGAAAGATGTGACTGGAATTTCCATGTAGAGTTCATATATGCATAATTCCCATCTGAAATGCATACAGATAAGACATAAGTGTTTCCATTATTCCCAGATTGTAATTCTTACATTGTAATTTTATGCATATGTTTAACAGATGCTGTAGGAGAGAGGGAGGCCACAAAGACTGAGTTTGTAGGGAAAGGAGCATGGGAATTAATTCTTTTTCACATAATATCAATTTGCAACAAGACAGAATCAAGTCTTCAAATAAAGCATCAAGGAAAGCTTTTCCTCTGCAAATTCTCAAGCCAGTACTTAAGGTCCAACCACACAAACGTGTTGCAGACAAATTACAGAAAGGGATGGTATTTCTTCCATAAAATTGAAAAGAGCTAGACCAAGAAATTTAGTCCCTGGACAGTTTATCCCACCTAATAATATTTATGATAAAAGTGAAAAAAGAAACAAGTAACTTTGACCTTGGGTGAAAGATGATCTTAACTGGAGACATTGTTTAAATTAAATTATGCCTATAGGCATGAACAATAATGACCTATACAATATCCACCTTTCAATATACATTATATATTTGTGTATTAATTTTTATTCTTAATCTGTGTATATATTTTCATTTATATTCTTAATTAACTTGCAGATCTTTGGAGAGACCTTGGAAAGTATGATCTATGTACTTCTATTTTCAATAAAGTTTGAGTTTGAATTTGTCTTTCCTGAAAACTTGATTTATTCAAAATGACTAGGCTGAGCCCTACATCTAGCTGGCACAAATGTACATCTTAATGGTTCAATAAATTCTTTCAGGAGGGGGCTGGGTCAAACAAAGTCTATGTTGAAATTGTTGTACAGCTGGATCTTGGTAGTGACTGCAGTAAGAATCATAGAATTGTGTATTTTAAGTAGGTAAATTCTATGACACGTAAATAATACCTTAATAAAGCTGTTTTTGAAAATGGGTAAGCAATGGCAAAACTTCAGACTGGAAAGTAAAAGATAAAGTCAATCAACTCGATCTGTTAATATCCAAAGGAAATATCCTAATGGGTGAAGGAGTCATAGAAACCCTTTAATTTCAAATGGTGTCAGTCCTTAAGGGAACTGGGTCTTTAAGGTGCAGAATAAAATCCAGGGGGGTACAAACTCTAGTTTTAATTATTTGGAAAATGAAAGAGTTGTATTTTCTCTGGTTAGCACTCTGCTGGCTGGAATGTATGAAACTTGTTGGACATTTGCAAGATACCAGTGGTGAGAGGACCAGTTAGAAGAATAACCCCTTGGGCAGGAGGAACGGCTCAAGTAGTAGAGCACCTGCCTAGCAATCCTGAGATTCTGAGTTCAAGCCCCAGTACCACAAAAAAAAGTATATAGAACAGTAACTCTTTGTCACACCTGCCTACCTATTGTTTTAAAATAATCAGCAATTCCAAATTTCAAGTGATTTGTCAAATTCCAACTGCTATGCAATTGTTATATATTATATTAAAATTGAATTACTCAAATGTATTTTTCTAATCTGCTAACAATTCTAAGAATTCTATTTTAGGTTTTTTGGGGGATGCAGTGCTGAGGAGCAACCCAGGACCTTGTGCGTGGTAGGCAAGTATTCTACCATTGAGCTACACCCCTAACCCAACATTTTATTTCTGAACCTGTGGGGGGTTTTTACTGTTACTTTGGAGATGGGTGGGGAAGAGTAACTCATTTTAACTGGCAGATAAAGGATTTTTGCCATGAGGCACACCTGAGACCAGTGTACCTTTTTCTGAGGTGTGTCCTGAGATAATTGCTTCTGTAAGTATGTCACACTTAGTGCTCACAGATACTGTGGAGGTGGGTACTCATTTATACGATCTTAAAAACTGAGAAATTGTTCTAAAGTTTAGAGCAGTTAAGGAGCTGACCCCAAGGCCATTGCTCCTAATCACTACCTTACAAGCCTGTCCTAGAATAAACTTGTCCTGGCTCAGAGTCACCAAGTTGACACCAACAGTTCAGAGACTGAAGCCATTTTTCAAGGCTTTCAATCCAGATCTTACCACTGCAGCATTTTTTACAAAGCATAAATAATTCAGTGGTTCATTCAGATATTTAACCTAGATATCACCAAGCATTTCAGTGTTTGTTATGGTATCACACGTGGCTCAACAGATCTAAGACTAGAGAGAGAAAAACAGTCCTGCTATTTTGTAAATGACCACAAGGCAGCAGCATATTAACATAAAAACCACACTTCTGCTGCTTCATTCGTTTTGCTTAAATATATGTAATGGTAATTTCATTTCATTTCGATTTGGTCTTTCAAATATATGACTGTTTAAAACTTGTCCTTTCACATAGGCACAGTGAGGACAAATCTGCTTGTAATCCTAAAAGCCCAGAGACTTGACAAATTCTTTAGTTGTACCAATAGCAGTATTAGAGTGCAAATTTCACTCTTCTTAAAATATACCAAAAGTAGTTCAAAGAAAGCCCTTATTTTTGTAAGTATACAATTCATTGCTTTGTTTTTAGCCATCTAGCAATCTAGTGTTAGAACATCGTCGCCCAAATTCCCTCACACCTGCAAGTAGTTGGTGTCTACTTCCACCTCCAGCCCCAAGGCAACCACCAATTGGCTTTCTGTCTTTCAAAATTTGCCTTCTGGACATGTCACATAAATGGAGTCACGTAACGTGTTCTGAGCTTCAACCATGTGGCATCATCTGTTCGTATTTCACTCCTTTTTAATTGATGAATTGTATTCATTCACCAGTTGATAGACATTTGGATTGTTGAACCTTTGGGGTCAACTTGAGCCATGCCCTCAAGCCCTCTTTTTAAACCTTGCAAGGCTTTTTCCTTCAAAGATTTATGTGGAACTTAAACCAAAACCTAAGTAAAAATGATATTAATTGTTATTAATTCCAGGAGATCAAAGGAATAGTAATGACCTATATACTGTTAAGTAACAAGATTGCTTGT